GTAAATTATTTCCAAAAATGGTAATAAAGTGGGTATTTTTTCAAATGTACCATCTCCTAAGATTGTTCGGGGTCCTGTAGAAGTCTTAAAAAAAAATTTAGCAAGTTTCCTAGCCAATAGAAGGTTACTATATCGCTAATTATTTGTACAACTCAAAGGAAAAGAAATTCTTTTTTTACGTTATTATTATTATTATATATAATTAATAAACAATTTCCCAAATTGTTACATTTTCCAAAAAAACTTTATTATTATTGATTTTATATAATAAAATGAATTAATTCCAAATTGTTTTTTTAGTGGCGATGCTAATACTAAATCAATAATGGATTAATTTCTTGTATTTTTAGTAGCAAAAGATGATCGTTTTCAAAAAAAGCTTAATTAATTTTCTTTAACAACACATTTTTGGAAAAGGCTCGATTTTAATCAAGTGATTTCTTTTTCGTATTTTTTTTTACTTATTATAAATACAACCTCTGAACATTTTAAAAAAATTTGGAAGTGATCATGATCAAAAGATTTATACAACGCAATCAATTTTGTGAAACGAAAATTTTCCTTTTCTTTCGAAAATTTCCAAAGAGAGATAGTATCGTTGCCAATTTTTTCTAAATATTACCAATCTTTTCTAAATTGTTACAAAGTATGTTGCACTGATTTGGTTGAGTTGTATTCTTTCGTTAAAACTTAAAGTTCAGTTATTATTATTTGAATTAAAATAAGTATTCATTAACGACCAATAAAAAAATTGATATTATATATCACTAATTTGGTTAATTAAAAATTCAGAAAAATTTTTTTTTTATTCTTTTTTAAAAACATTTCATTTTAATTTCCCCAAATTTTTGGAAAAATTGTTTTTTCCAAACAATTTCATATACAAGTATGAAAATATGAAATGATATTGATTTCAAAAAAATACATTTTTATTCTTTCAATATACCAGAGGGGACGTCTAGTTTGAGAAATAAAATTACCAGACGTCCCCTCTCACATCCTTGAAGTTTGGTAATATGATAATCCCTTGTCGTTATCATATAAGAAAGAAAATTACCAGACATCCCCTCTCACATCCTTGAAATTTCGGATGATATGATAATCGCCTTGTTGTTATCATATGAGAGGTTTCAAGGATTGTTTGCGAATATTATATATACACAATGTTTCATTCTTCAATGCTGTTAAGAGATGACAATTGAGATAAGACTTTTTTCGAATATTAGAGGAATAAACTTTGAGAGAAGAAGAATATTATTTTCTTAAGAATTAAAAGTTTTTTTAGAATTAATTGACGCTGAAGAAGAGAATTCGGCGAATTTAATAAATTATCTATGTAGTTTTTTGCGCATATTTTTTATATAATGTATTTTTTTGTATTTTTCTTTTTTTTTTCATGTAAATTTTATTTTACCAAAAAAAAAATAAAATAGATTTTGTCACACGATTCCTTCAAAAAAAAAAAAAAACTACTACATGCAAATGTACGTTATTCACATAAAAAAAAAGAAACCAATTAATAACTGATTAAAACATGACATGACAGTTTGAAAGATATGGAGAAGTTATATTAAACCCATGGGTTATGGATTCGTTGAATTTGAAGTTAATAACAATTATTATCATTTATATTAAGAGATGTTTGAAATATTAATAATTATGATCCATGCGACGCTGATGATCCAGTAAAACAATTAAATGGTTTATTGTAGAATTGGAAGTGGTGAACAAGGTCATTTTGCCAGAGAATGTTCTGATGCTAGGGGGAAAGGTATGGTTGTTAAAAGTGGAAAATTTTTTCAACGTGGTGAAACAGGTCATCTAGCAGTTAAATAAATTATTTTTTATTATTAATTTTATAAACAAAAATCTGATAATTTTTGGAGGAGGAATTATGATTGCGGAGGTCAATCTTCTAGACACGGAAGAAATCGAACTTCTTGTTATTCACATGGTGACCCTTATTATGATGATTGTGACTGTGATAGAGACAGTAACCAAGATCATGTTCATGTTCAAGATTATGATCGTGACAGAGGCTGGGACTGAAATCACTACAACCTTATGATAGTCCTGATAATAATAATGGTGGCTACAACAGATCACCAAGAAATCGATCAAAAGATTTAGTTCAAGTCCTTATGATTATAATTATAGAAGAAGTCTAAGTCCATATGGATATGTTTTAAAGATGTATTATATATGATTGTAACGTGATTTTATTATCACTGTTACTATTAGTCCGGTTTTGGTTTTTCATCATATATGTGTCATCATCATCTTGCCTAGATTATTGTTTATTCTGGATTATGGGAAATGACTTGTTATTGAGGCTTTGCTTGGAACTGGCAAATGTGATCTTTTGTATTTAATTTTTTAAAAAAACAGTTTATATATGTGTGTGTGTGTGTGTGCATATCACAAAGATTCTTATGGGGAGATATATTGGCATATTAAAGTCTTTTTGTAACTCAAATTATGTAGCCCAAACAAATTTTTTGCTCTTTTGTATTTTCAATACACTGAATATAATTTGTTCTGGATCAAATATATATAGGCATTTAAGAAAGTGTTAGTCAATTAATCAATCAATCAAAATCATATGGACAAAATACTCATGGTCTTATAAAACGGGAAGAATCTATTGGAAGATTATGTAATCCAAACAAATTTTTTTTTAAAACTGTTCTTTGGAATTTTACAGAAGGCCAAACTTGAAGAATTCTGTTCCTTTTTTTTTGTCATAAATCTAAATAGCTTTTTATAAATTGATTTTACTTATAATAATAATACATGGCCAATTGATAATCAACCAAATATCATTTGTCATTAAATAAAAAATGGTAATTTAGTTGAATAAATTATAACTAATTGGACAATTTTTTCATTAATTTGATATTAAAAATAATCAATTTATTCACTAATTTATACAGTCAGCAACAATTAGACCCAAGATACCAGTAATATTTAAGCACCCATTAGACCTGATATTGTTAGAGTGGTTCATACCAATATTTCAAAAAGTAATTGTCAATCTTATGCCATCTCATCAAAAGCTGGCTCATGTGGAGCCTTAGTCATCATCAAACATCTAGGTTACTGGTCACACTGTAGCACATATCCCTCATGTATCTGGAGGTGGAACACATTGTGCTGGCCAGGTAAATAATATATCACACAATGTTGATAATATTATATTCAATCATAATTATAAATCCTCTTTTGGTAGTGTTAGATTGAGTACAGTGCATTTTGTGCAGTGAGTATAGTACAAACCATTTTAACCATTTTTGGTAATGATAATTGTATCTACATGCCTTTTTGGATTGGGTGTGTAGAACATATAATTGTACTCAATCTAATTCTACTTATGTTTGTACTATACTCACTGCACGAAGTGTACCATACTCAACCTGCATACACCCATAATCTTTCATTAATATTAATATTTATTATTACTATTATTATTACTATTAAGTGAGCTTTTGGCAAAATGTGTCATAGAGGATGTATGTTTGCACCTATAAAAATTTGGCATAAATGGCATGTTAAAACCAATTTAAATCAAAAAAGATATATCACTGTGTTATTGTTAGCAGCATCATCAATTGCAGCTTTGGTTTTAACGCATGGACATAGAATTGAAGAGGTTCAAGAAGCTCCATTGGTGACAGGTGGATGGCATTGAATCATTGGAGAAGACAAAAGCAGCAGTCCAATTGTTTAAAGTAGTTAATCCTTGTTGAGATATCACTAGGGCATCCAATTCTCATAAATTGAGGGTTGGTAAGGGAAAATACATAATAGGCATCACAGATAACATAGAGGTCCTCTTATTGTTTATAATAATGCTGATAATGGAATTGTCCAGGCAATTGTAATATTCCTGGTATTGAGGTAGTCAGTGTTTGAATTTATTACAATTGGCACCAGGTGGTCATTTGGGTAGATTTATTATCTGGTCTCAAAGTGCTTTTGGATGATTTGTTTGGCACCATAGAAGATCTTCTTTCTTGATGAAAAGTCAAAATTTACAACAACAAACTAATTAAAGGAATATTATCAGTACTAAATTGTTATTATTGTTACAGTCAACCCTCCATAAGTGCAATCCTCTTGGGACCAGGCAATACCATGCACTTATGGAGGAGTGCATTTATACTGTGGGATAGTAAATCTTGGACCTATCAATTACCTGGTTAATATTGACCAATTAGAACGAATTTACTACGGAAGTCATGTGATTTGCTAAATATTACATCACAACCAACGACCATCTTTCTATATTATTGTAACAGCTATGCCACACATTGTGCAAGATTATTCCTATTCATATTTCTATATTTATATTTATTAACCTACTCATTTGATGTAAATATTTATTTAGAATTAGTAATTAGTTGATAAGCATATTATTGCAGAGTAGAATAGCACACTTCACATTATTTGTACTGCCAAAAGAGGTATAAATACACTTGGCTTTAGACCAAGTTAATAATCATCATTAATTAATCAATTGTTAATATTGTTGATAACAACCTTGATAACAATGACATAATAATAACTCTTAATAAATATATATAACCTTACATAAAATTGTCTTTGACTGTAAATAACTATTAATCCCAGTGTGATTGACCCTCCCCAGCCCTTTTAATGGTTAATGGTCTGGCCAACCTTTAATTATTAGTTGGGAACCCTTTTTAATTATTCAGATACATCTCAAGGGGATGCCTTTGGGATATAATTATTTAAATAGAACCTAGTGACTGTAAGTCAGTGGGTAGGCTGTGTGTCATATATATATATAAATAAAGGAAACTTGACCATAAGTCAGCAGGTAGGCTATATGTCAAACAATAGAATCAACCATAAGTCAGTAGGTAGGCTGTGTGTTGAGCATTAAATAACCTATTAGTTAGGAAACTCAGATCGCACACTCACAATACATAGAACAAAAGTATTTTATTGGTTGCACATGGCATTAATAAAAAATAAAAAATAATTTTTTAAATTTTATCAAGAGCATTAAAATTTTTCATACAAGAAGGAAATTCTAAAAATGTTAAACTTTTTTAAGCTTTGACACTTATTACAATTGGCACAATACTATCATCTTTGTCACCTTCAATATCTTCAGTAGTGTCAAAGCTCTTATAGTTGGAATTATTATATATAAAGATAAAGGAAAAGAAATTAAGAATTATAATAACTAAGATCTAATTACCCTTATTACATTAAAAAATAAATATATATCAATCTTTTAATTCAAAATAGTATTAAATTAACATTATACTTAATTATTAAATCATTGTTCACTATAATAATTAAATCATTCATACTCTTTTATAACTTCCAAATAAGTAAAATAACTTTAAAATATGGATTTTGATTATTTGCCACAAATAATAAATTGGCCATGTTAGATGGATTGAGCAAAATGTAGGGTTACCTGTATTGTAATAATAATCCTTTACATCTATTAAAAAAAGAAAGTATTGACCATTTGTTGTATATATTAAAAGAAAGAATTCTCTATTTACTCATTACTTGAATTATCATTTTACTATTGCTAAAACATCAGTTATTCGTGTATCACAAAAATTATATCGCAGTATGATCGCGTGAAAGTCACGTGAGTGCGGTTGGTTTTATGAGCGGGACCGGAAAAGAGCGTGCAGTGCAGAACATAGAGGGAGTATATTTATCTCTAAGTCTCAAGCTTGGGACTTGGACGCAGGGTACATTTATAGAGGACTAACTGTATTATTGTTATTATTATTATTTATCATTTTATTTTTAACAACACACACATATATATTATTTGCACAATTATTAATCTAACATCACATATCATATCCAATTCTAAAGTAACACACCTCATCAATGTTAATGAAATCTAAGGCCAGCAGGAGAAAAATGACCATATTCACAAAAGAAGAAACCGTTACATAACAATGGTGCAATCAAACTTCATCACAGTGGGCCTCGCCACAGTGGATCTCTTGTTACAACAGAATTAAACATTGGTCCTTTTTTTATTAATTAAAAATGTTTGTCATAACGCATTTCATTAATAAATTTGTTTCAATATGACTACTAGTCTCATCACAGCGGATTCACGTGACATAAATTTATCTAAATTACCAAATAGGTTATTTTAATCAAAGGTCCGTATTAAAATAAAGCAATAAAACAAACAATTTTATTCAAAGATTTACGAGTAACAAATTTTCTAAAATAAAACAATACAAACAATTGATAGGTTATTTGTCTGAATGTTTGCGAGTAACAACCTTTCCCAAGGCTCTAAAATAAATCAATAAACAAACAATTGATAGGTTATTTGATTGAATGTTTGCGAGTAACAACCTTTTCCAAGTTTCTAAAATAAATTAGTAAACAAATAATTGATAGAATATTTGTCCAAATTTATGCGAGCAACAAAATTTTTCAAGTTACTAAAATAAAACAATTGATAGATTATTTATCCAAATGTATGCATTTATTTATCAATTTTTAAAACTAAAACAAATCAAGATCATTTTTCCAAAGATTCATAATAAAGTCAATTAGATTATAAAAAATTTAAATCATTTAAATCATTTGAAAAAAAAATGAAATTATTAGATAATGAAAAACCAATACAACCAAATATTAAAACAAATAATTTTAATTTCCGCATGTATTATTTATTCATTTATTATTAAAAAATTTTTGCCAATCACCAATTTTGTCACATACACAGCGGATTTCTTGTTATAACGGATTTTTTTTTACGAAATCCGCTGTGGCGAGGTTTGACTGTATTATGATCCGTCTTAATCCTTATGCTAAAATATTGAAAAGAGGTGGAATTATACATGCAGAAAAATTGAAATCTGGTAAATTCTAAAGAGCAAACGTCAAGTAAAAGCTAGTACCAGAGCATCAGAAAAGCATGTGTTAATAAATTATTGTTATAATTATGATTGTTGTTGTTGTTTCTGTATTAATTTTTATTTTAATTTTTTCTTGCATAGATAGATTTTTGAATCAGATATTTAAGATTATTTGCTTTTGTCTTGACCAATTAAATAAATTAATAAATTTAAAAAGTCTTGCAGATTGTTCCAAAAAAAAAAAAATGCAATTTATTTTTTTTTTAACTTCATAATTCAATTAATTTCTACAATTTTTTCCTTCAGAGTAACAGTATGCTTTCATACATACAATCTTTGACCAAGAAAAGACTTTTATTTATTTCTTGACATACGATAATGTACATGATAATTGGCTTTTAAAAATGAAATTGTATGATTGATAACCGCAAACGAAACCTATTGCTGCGCTAATAGGAGAAATTTTAATTTTCAATTCTAATCTATGAAGGATGTAATTCACGTGATTCGTGTAATTAGAGTTAATAAATAGGTCTTTTTGAGTTAGAATTTGCTTACCATCATTTTGTCAAATACTGAGAAAACTGAAGGTAGACTGAGTTAAAATCATCAATCATATGGATTGCTAGCTCCTTCGTTTAATTCGTTCGTATTCATCTTCTGAGCCAATTATTGCTCGTCTAAGGAATTGTCTTGCATCAAAGTTTAGAAAATTATAATCAAAAATATTGAACATCTGGTTCTCGTGTCATCTAAGAGACATTATTTTTATGTTTCATTATTTAATTACACGAACGCGTTAATATTTTAATCTGTCCAAATTTAGATATAATTATGTGATTTATTCCATTCTTAGTTAAGATTTGCGCGGCAAAATATATTACTAATATTACTAATATCATTACTAATACAAATACTAAAATTCGAAAAGCTAGAGAAACAGCACCTAATACTAATCTACGAGTTAAAAAATTTTTTTATGGGAGTTCTACAATATTAATATTATACTTTTAAAAGTTTGTATACCATACTACGGTGAGGATCATCTATAATTAATTAATCGCTTATATATAGTAACAATTGGTCAGCTTCAGAATACTAAAAAAAATTTAAAAAGTTAACCGATAAGTTTTGGTTGTATGGCTCGAGCTTCAAATTTATCGGCTAGTTTTTTCTTAAACTAAAAATTGGTTGAGCCTTAGATTCCAAATTTTGTTACACACTTGAGAATTGAGACAAAGTAAGTTTTGTATTTTGTGAACAATTTTTTTTTCAAGTATTGTTTCTTTTTTATTATTAAAAGAAAATCATTACCAAATTTGGTTGTGTGACTCGAAATATTGTAACACCAAAATTATTATTGTACAACTCAAAATTTAACGAAAAAAAAATTTGTCTGAGTTGGGATAGTGATTGTTTTTGTTAAAAATCCAACATGTAGATCACATGATATTTCAAAAATTTTAACGAGTTATAGATGAATCCGCACTGTTTACCATTTAAATTTAAAATACCGAAAACTCCAAATGATCCGAATATTATATGATATCTTTACAAACACCACTACTTGATACAATATCAACCGCAAGCTCGGAAATGACAATTTGAGATGCTGATTATTTCAATATTATTTTTTAATTAATGTGTAATTCTTTTTATGGACATTAATTTCGAACATTCTAAATTTCGATTTTTGATATTGAACACTAATACTAATTCCTATTAATGGCAATAATAATATTTTAATAGTAATTAGGGATCAGAATTTTTCCCAATTCCCAAGATTTCTTGATTTTTGAGGGATGATTTAAATAAATTATAACTGACCAATGATTAGTAAAAATCTCATTGTGATTTATAATTGTCTTTAAGTTCGAGGGATGATGTATACAAACTGAAAAGTATATCAATTGAACAAGCATTCAACATGCATTAAGTTCAGTTCAAAATGTACCGAACTCAGAAAAGACTTGTGCGTGTTTATAATAATAATAAATAATTACTTGAATTATTTGTTATAAACTTTTCTGGAAACTTATCCCGAGATAGGACTGACAATCCCAGAACCGAATCGGACACGATTATTTGCTATATGTGAAAATTTGAGGAGATGCGTGTGAAATTTCCTTTGATTGTTAATTTAAATTTCACGTATGTAAGTTTCAAAACATCGTGTAATTGTTATGTAACAGTTACACGTCACCGGACCGATAGCTTAATCCGTGTAACATCTAATAGGAATAATTTTGGTTAACAATTAAATTTTATCGAATGTGTGTATGTATGTATATAAAATATTCACAATAAAAAAAGCGCATAGATATACATAACTATATTGTTATTGTTATTATGTGCTTGCCATTTTTATTATCTCTAACTAACCCGACCTCCTGGGCATGAAAACTATTCGTTCCGTGGATCTCAAAACGTCGATAATAATAAGACAAATAAATAATATGTATTCTTTTGACTACAGGTGCCCGTTGAAAATGGCGAGGGATTTCTATGTTTATGCAAATAAAAGTAAATTTATTAATACACACAACATATATACCAAGTAATTATTAATATTGATTACACAAATTTATATAACAATAAATGAAACCCCGAGTCTTCCTTTAAACATTTTAATATTGATGCTTATATATAATTAAATAATTAAAATAAAAAAAAATTAAAATTAAATTACCAATTAGATTACAGTATAATTACATTGCATATATATACATTTTCAAGGGAGAATTAATTTTTTTAATTTTCACTAACAACGATGATGAGAAAAACAAAAACACAAACAAAAACATCATTACTACTAATATAACAATAAACTACAAATCAAATCAATCTTAAAAGTTTAATTATTTTCCTAAAATATTTTCATTGAATGAAATTCAGAAATTCAAAAAACAATTTAAATACGACGGCATTTTCTTTCTTTCTTTCTTTCTTCCTTTCTTTCTTCCTTTTTTTTCTTTCTTTCTTTTCTCTAAATCAATCACGAATAATAATAGATATAATAGTTATTATATTTTATGACAATATTTATTTTTAAAAAAAAAAACTTCTAATAAACAAAAATAATAATTATGGGAGCAGCCCAATCAAAAAAATTGAAGTTCAGGATATCATATAACAATAATGGTAGTAAAAGTAATAGTACGAGCGGTGGTAGTAACAATGTTAATGGTATTAGGGATTATCAAGCGGATGAAGGTGAGATTGATCAAATGAATATCCAACATCATTTAATACGTGAAGTATGGAATGGAAATTTTTCTTCGCCCATTAAAGAAAAATTGAGGAATGAACAATTAAAGGTTCTTCAAGTAAGGTAACAATTCACAAAAAAAATAATGTTTACATAATATTTTATTTTTGTGTTATTGTTTACGTAAAGTTTATTATTATATAATAATAATGAAACAATAATAATAACAATAATAGTTGTGGGCCGGGCAGTTGGTTATGTGAAATGTCGTCGGATTATCCGAAATGTAGATATACTGGTGTAGATAATCTTGAGTTGATTACTGAAACTAGACCTTCAAATGTTGAATTTATCAAATGCAATTTTCTTCAAGGGTTACCATTCGAGGACAACACCTTTGATTTTGTTCTTATGAGATTTAAGATGCTGGAGTTCACAGAACATCAATGGGAATCTTTTGTGGTCAAAGGTATTTTTTCTTTGTTAAAAATAAAAAATTTTTATTCAATTTTAAAATATTAATTTTCTTTTATAGAGTTAGTAAGAGTTTTAAAGTCAAACGGGTGGCTTGAGGTGAATCTTCATCATCATTATTACTATTATTATTATTATTATTATTATTACTATTACTATATAATTAATACAAATTTTTGTTGTTATTAAAAAAAATATAAAGCTAATGGAACCTAACATAGAATTATGTAACATGGGCCCATTAACAAAAAAAATTAATGATACAAGTAATATTCTACATTTATTTATTATTATTTAAAAGAAAAATTCTCATTTTTTATTCATTCATCCATCCACCCACCCATTTAGTTGTGACTAAAATCAGAACATTTAACATAAATACAAATATTCACCAACGAATAGAAGAATTTATGAGAAATACTAATTTATTGATTAACATTGAAAGTTTTGTTAAACGTGTACCTTGCGGAAGTTGGGCTGGAAAAGTTGGTGAAGCCGGTGCGGTTATGTTGCGTGATGGTTTTTTAAAACATATGGGACTTATATTGAGCCAACAAAATTCAAGTTCAAGTTCGATCATCAATGAAATATTAAGCTGCAATGATAGTAATCCCGTATTTAATAATAACCGACAACAACGCAAAGGAAGCATCATTGGTGGCCGTAGTGGTAGTGTTAAAAATAATATTAAATCAAATAATAATGACGATGATGATTCTAGATTAAAAACAGTGTTAGAAAACTATTTAAACGAAGCAAATCTTTACAAAACAACTTTTGATACTTTTCGATTTATCGGTCAAAAAAAAGTTACATAAAAATTATTCTCTTTTGAAAACTAAACTTAATTTGAAATTTGATTTAAATATCATACTAAGGAATTAAGCATAAATTTAATAAATCTATAATTTATCTATCATAAGCTTGAAGAAAATTTTCTTATGTAAAAAAAAAAAAAATTATAATAATAAAATGTTTGACAATATATGATGAATTTATATTTATTTATATTAATTCATTTTTGAATTTCTTGATCTTATTAACTTTTGCTTGACTTTTATGATTGTTTTTTTATCAATAAAATTGAAAGCATTTCGGGCATGTAATCGATTACTTGTGAGTTATTTTATTTTATCTAATCGTCTTCCATATTTATATATTATAATCGAGTTTTGTGTGATATTTTTTAAAGCAATCTCTAGTGATATTTATATCAATTTGTGTTGCAAAAAAAAATTTTTTTTTTTCGTAAAAAGAAAGCTTAACTTTATATTTATTACTTATCATTATCGTATAATTTCTAAATCTCGTCGAACGTGAATAAAATCAAGTTTTGCTACAAGTTTGATGTGAATTCCTAGGTCCAGAGATTTTCGTGTTAGTATACTTTTGGTAACTTACTATTACGTGTAAGGATTAATATACAGTCGAACCTCGTTATAATGAACTCTCTCTATAACAATTTTAGACATTTAAATCCATAGTAATAGATGGATGGGCATATAATTTGACAATGTCCAAGTATAGACAATTAAATTCGACTGTGCCATATATACAATTGGGGGGGTTTTTTTTTTTTGCATCAATACTCCTTGACAAGAAAAATATGGGAATGCCCGTAAATTTTTATCTAATACTAAAAATTTACAAGTGTAGGAAATTGAATGTGTGGGGCACTTATTACATAAATCAGCTTCTGACACTTTGTGTAACCGGAAAGTGGTCGATTCCCAAAATTTCCGAAATTTTAATAATAGTAGGATTTCGCTCTCTCTCTATTTAGACATTTTAAAGACCTTAAACATATCCTAATTAAGTCGCACATCTACTATTATTATTATAACGAAAATTATTAGCCGCGTTATAAAAAATTTTAAAATTCGTTACAATGCGCATTTAACTTTGTTATAACGAGGTTCGAGGTTTTTATTGGTATTGATATTACAGTCTTATGAATCGAGAAAATAGAAGGGAAATTTATAATACAAATTATATCTAAATAATCATTAATATTTTGAAGAAGATGGAGACGAAAAGAGTGTCAATATGGTGAGAGGGTTTAATCAATGAATTTTTATTATTATTATTATTATTATTATTATTAATCATACATAACATATTGTTTTATTAATTAATTAATTACACTTTTTACCAATTGCTTCAAACTCTTTTCATTTCTTCTTGATAGTTAGCTTTTTTATTTATGGAGAAAATTTTCCTTTTTTATAGTATATAACAGAAAAAATTTCCATAATCATATTGATATTAATATTAAAATGCAATATGCAAAATTAAATTAAAAATTCATTGCGATGCATATTTTTTTGTTTCAACGTTATAATGGTTTTTGCGTATGAAACAATTTTTTTTTTTAAGTTTTGTATGAAATAAAGCACGGACTGTTGGATAATGTTGTAAAGCACGATAACGACACCTAGATGCAATCACGATATGTTTGAGAAAATCTGCACATAAGAAAACAAATAAACAATTCGATGTAAAACTTTTTTTTTTTTTTGTAACAAATAAAAAAACAAATAGTGATTTGCAAGCATATAATATATAAACAGTAAATATAAATAACCCAAGATTTTTCCTTTAATGATAAACAACAAATCGAAAAAGGAGGATTGATAGAAAACTCCATTCGTTATTATTATTAATCTTGACTTGACTACTAATATTTTAGCACTTATTTTAAAAAAACCCCTCCCCAAAAAAAGAATTATGAATTGATATTAACGGTTAGTGATCTTTTTAACCCATTGTTTAAAGAGTAAGTAATTAAATTTTAGTCAATTGGGTAGACGAGCAAATGGTTGTGATAAAAAATAAATTATCCAAATCAAAAACCTAAACCCTCTTTCTAGCATAATCATAATGTAATAAGCCATCATCATTTATACACATATAATAATAATTAATTGTAACCAATAATCAACGATTTCGTCATTATTTATATCATATACATATATATATATATATATATAACTAAAATTTATATTTGTTACATTATTCTCTTATGCTTATAGAACGGAAATTCATATAATACATATTAATATCAAGTTCTAATACCTAATAAATATCGTATAAATATATCTGCCCGTTTTTTTTTAAGATAAATTTATTCTCAATTTTAAAAAAATATATATATATAGATATATAGATAGATAGATAGATAGATAGTCGAAGCGAAAATCCAGAAAAATATTATTTATACATACACGCGCGCACGTATACAGCACACGCAAATATAGATTATGTATCTTTTGGAAAAATTTTTTAAAAATAGAAATTTTATCAGATAAAATAATCTTCGTATATAACAAATAATAAATGAGTGATCAAGACCCAAATAGTGTCGATTTCTTATGTAAAGGTGATAATGTACTTCTTCCTTTAGCGGCCTTATCATTTTCGTGCGTTGCCACAATAACAATTGGATTTTACATATTTCAAAAATTAACAAAATTGAGAATTTCCTTGTAAGTTTCTTTAAAATTAAACTTTTTTAAAAAAAATAAAAATTTTAATTTCCAATTAATTTATTATTAGATTTTTAACATCAGTGGCCACCACACTTTCATCGGGCACAAATCTTTTATGGGAACTTTATGATTGCGAAAATAAATTTTTTCATTATTTATTCAATTTGATTGTTTTCGAGTTGTTCATTTTTGTAGGTGCGTGCGTATACTTTTTAATGTTTTTATTTAATGTTATTAAAAAATTTTTTATTTCATTAAAAAAAATTGATATTGATCATTATTATTACACATAAACGCACACATATATAGTCGTTTGGTGTTTTCTTGATATTGGAAAGAAATTTTATCCGCCAAATCAAAGAAATACATTATTTTTTAAAGTAATTATCGGGGCGTGCGTCATATTTGGTATGGGAGGAATATCTCAAGTAGTTTTCACTATACACGACAACAACAATCCTTATGAAACAACAGCAAAAGAAATCATCTATATGGCAGACATAATCTTAGGTTGGATACTATTGACGTTGGCATTTTTCTACACGTTTAAACCAATCATAAAGTTTAGAATATTTTCAAAAAAACAAATTTCAACAATAAATCCGAGGAATTCTGCCGTAGGAATTTGGTATTTGCTTGTGACGAGTTTAATCAGTGTTTCCTATTTATCTTTTATGATATATATGTTCACAAAAGGATTCGAGACACCAAAGATATTTCGTGGACCTAATTCAAAAGCCATCGATTACATTCATCGAACAGTTTTAATTCTAAATCAGTCTTTACCGCCACCAAATTACATTTTGAATTTGATTGGAAAAATTGAGATTTATGCCACTCCACAAAATACAAATAATCGAAATACGAACATTCTTGATAGTAGTATTAGTGATACTGTAACATCTGAAACTGTTATCAACATTAATAATAATAATAATTTTAATAATAATAATAATAATAATAATAAGGATATCAATAATAATGACACTAATACAATTAATAAAATTAGTCTAGATACCTCTGATGGTAGTTTAGATAGTTCTAATAGTACACTATAACATATAACATCATCATCAAACATAAGCTAAAAAATAAATAAAGAAAAACCTAAATATAAAAATCATATTTTAATTTTATAACAGCATTTTCAATTTCGAATCAAACTAATAATACATACACACTAATACAAAAATAAATATGAAACAATATGAAACTACCTAAAACCAAATAAATAATAAACCTATAATAAGTGTAAAATACGAATCTAAATGATCTAATTTAAATTTAATTCTATTTTAAGATTTGGTAAAAATTTATTAATTTTTGTCCATGTAATTTCCCATATCTCAATTGATGCTTTTTCATTAAGCTTATTATTTCCATTTTTTAATGATGATGATCCTGGAGGAATCAAAACACCAGAAGTTAACATTACCAATAACATATTCTTTAATGATTCGGGAACTGCTTCTCTCTAAAAATAGAAATAATTTAATAAATTTTGGTATTATAATAATGATTACTACTATTGTTGTTAAATGCATAACACTGCACATACCAATGAATCATTATCGCCTGTAAACATATATTTCTCCATTACATCTAAAACTTGAGACCACAATGTAATCAATCCACCCCATTCAATCAATCTATTCAAATAATGTAAAAATATTTTACATAATAGAGCCGATGCTCTTATTCTAGACTCGTCAATACCAACTGGATCGGCTTGATAGATTTCTGGTTTTAATAGTTGATCCAACAATGGGAACAGCACAAGATCAAATACCAATACCCATTCTGTACCACCATGTGATACAAGTTGTGGATTTAAAAGCGATCGTTGCAAACATGATATCGCATTTTGTCTAACTTCAAGACATGGACTATAACATTGTTGACTAAATCCTGTTAATATTGGTAACCAATAATTTGACCATGCTTCTCTTGGCGATTTCCCAGTTTCACTTAGTAAGTTTGGTATTTCCATATACAACATATTCATCAATACAACTGCTTCTTTTGCTCTATCTATAATAGCTGATTGGCTTTTTTTTTGTACATAAAGAATTATTATTTATTATTATTATTTTTTTTTTTTAAAAATTATTTTTCATTGATTAAAAAACAAACAAACAAAAAGATTGCTTACGTTTTGGTAAGGTTAGCTCTTAAATTCTTTGGATTTGATAATTCAGTAAACTGTTGATCTTGTTGGTCTATTGGAAATGTAGCAGCTGAAGCAAATTCTGCCAAAAGTTCCACACAATCATTAAAATTATCAAGATTGATACTTTTCTTTTCTTTAATCAAAAATGTAATGGCGTCAAATGAATATTTAGATGCTTGCGGATGTGTTGATGTTGCTCTAAGTAATTTGAATACTGATTCCCATGGCCTTTTGCCTTTGATACATGATGGATCTGATTTAATGATATTTAATATTCCTGCCATCATTTGTTCACCAACAGAATTTATTACGTCATGTGGTAATGTCGCTAATAGTTCTAATGCTAGCAAGATATCAAATACCATGTCATCTTTATGTGTCAGACGAATACACAATCTAAGCAATGCAACAACTGTTCTCTCAACTAACAGAATACTATTATTTTGAGATTCTTTTAAAATATCGGTTATATGTCCAAACAGAATTGGCCTAAATAATCAATCAATGATATATGCAAATAATTATAATTTTTATTTTAAAAAATAAATTAATAAACTAATAAATAAATCGTAATAAATTACATACCATAAATATTGAATTCTATCTCGATTTTGTAATGTAACATTTATCATTAGTTCAAGAAAGAATACAGCAGCAGGATCATAGGAACTGCTTTTCGGTGACTGTCGTTGTGAGTATGTGGTATGAGGTGTTGGTGGATAAGATAATTTAGTAGTGGTGGTATTATTATTATTACTGGTTTTTGTTGTTGTATTTCCATCTGCAATGAATTTAAGTGCCTTCATAAGATTTTCAAGTGATTCTTGTCCTAAAGTTCTATATATATATAAATCAAAAAAAATCAAAAAAAACATTATCATTATAATATATATACATTTTAAAAATATATATTAACATAACATCATATATGATTTATTTATTTATTTATTGTAAACAAACCTTATATCAGCAAATATGTCATCCAAGTGACATGCTTTAACACAGTCAACTGTACACATGGTACATTCTATTTCTTCTTCTGTAGGTGCACTTCTTGAAGATTCGTAATTACTTGAATATGGTGATAATAAATAAGATGATAATGCCGATAATAAAGAATTGTCACGTCTTTCTTGCTTTGGAAATGTATTGGTGGTTTTTGGTTTAAGCGGAATTGTTGTTGTACCGGCCAAAAAATCCTCCACTTGTATCATTGAACTTGGTAATAATGAATTTACAAAAAGATTCTTTATAATTTCTAAAATCTATATATATATATTTGTTTAAATAAGACATTTCATTTAATAACTTTTTAATCCAAAAAAAATATATTATTACATAACGGTATGTAACCAATCATAAACATACATATTTCCATCCATCTCTTAATACATTTCCATGTTCATTAGCAACGGCAAATAAAACAACAGCAGCTAATTGTCCTTTATAATTTCTTCCAAATTGAATTGCTAAGTCACTTACTGTGATTTCAATACCTTGAACTTTAATAATTGGATTACTGGCAGTCTCATTAGAATATCTGGAACCAAGCAGTCCTGTCATTTTTGCCAATGACATAATTATATAATCAAAGACTTCATATAATTTATATTGAGCTGATAATAATGCACATTGGTGAAATCCATTAATAGCCTTTTGTAAAGTCGCATCATCTGGAGCTGTACTAAATGCTATGATAATAATAATAATAATAATAATAATAATAATATATATAAATTTAAGATTAATAGTTTCTTTATGTAAATAAATTTGAACATAAAGGTTGCAGTTTTTCAAAATTCTCTACCATAGGAAATAGCTGCCACTGTAGGTCTCCATACTGTCGTATACATGTCTTTATCATACAAAGAAACGTCGCATATTATAAATGGTCCTATAAAAAATTTTTAAAATTATACTTAATTTTTTTTTTTTCAAATTTTCATTCAACTAATTAATGGTTATCTACCTGCACTTTCGGCTCTATGTAACAATTCTTTCCATGCGTAATTAAATCCAAGTTGACCTTCATGTTCTTCAGGCATTATTATTTCTTTTTTACGAATGGCATCATAAATGGCATGCTATTTTTATAATTAAATATTGTTTTGATTAAAAAATTACAATCATTGGAGTCATTTGAGAAATAAAACCTTTACCAAATATTCTGTATCAAAATTTTGTCCATTATTAACATTTCTTAAATTTTTCATATAATCTTCAATTGTCATACGTCGCTAATAAATTAATTATAACAATCAAATTAATTTACAATATCAATGGAATAAAATAAAACTTACTCGCAATTTTAATCTTAAATAAAAATTTATCATACCCGAACTTGTGGATTATGTAAATCAGTATTCAACATTATAACTGAATACGCTAAAACAAATGTAGCATCTTGTGATGCAATTTCAGCTTTTTCAAATTTTTAATAATTACGGTTAGTTTGAAAGAATTACATCATTCAATAAAAATAATATTTGCCATAATATTTAATGTATAATTAGTACCTGGTTTAGTAGCAAAATAAGTTATAGCAAATGTTTCCATGATTCTTTCAATTTGTTGGGCCTCACCCGGCAATCTAAATGATTCAAGCATTTCTCTCATGGCTTCATCAATTCTCTTCTAAAAAAAAATAATTGTAGTTACAATTACCACCACAACCATTGTTATTAACATAATGATGAATCAATTAATAAACATACTCCTTGGAAATTAAAAAGTTTTACAAAAGCTTTTAAAATTTCAAAATTTGAAGGTTTTGATAAAAAGTCACCAAGAACAATTTTATTTAGACGTGGTGTTGATTTTAAAAATATTGCAGTACTAGTATTTTCATCGACCGTATTATCACTATAAATAATCCTATTTGCTAAAAAAAAATTAAATTGAAATTAAATTGAAATGAAATTAGAAATATTTGATTTTTAAAAAAAAAAAAAAATAGTAAATATTTTTTTCATTTTAAGAAAGTAACGGTAAAAAACCTTTAAGAAATTCTAATCCTGCTTTAGGGCTTTCGTTAAATTTTGCTGCCCCTTCACGTAATATTTGTTTTTGTTGTTTACGCTTTAATAGTTCTGAAGCAGAAGGATAATCCTAAAATAAAATAAAATTTATGAGATGGAGAACAAAATTCATATAATTTTTTAGAATACAAAAAATAAAATATAATAAAAATAAAAATAATTATTAACCTTTGGTTTTAATCCTGAATTATAATCAGCTGCTGTCAATTGATCCCAAGATAATTCACAACTAGATGCATTATTAACATTTTCCTGTATAATATTTATAAAAATAATTAAATTTTTGGAATAATAATAACAATAACAATAACAATAATAATAAAGCACTCCACCAAAAAAGTTTTTACACCAACTAATTACCTGTAACCGATCTATCATATGATTTACAAACATTAAAAGTGCATCAAAACATATTGTATGTGAATTGCTCACAGAATATCCAACGGAGTCAGGGAAAGAATTCTATAAAATTTAGTTGTTATATAAATTAAAATTTATATATATGAAACTAATTAATTAATAAATTATTTTGTTTGCCGATTTTTACCTTACTTAAGAATTTAATAACCTCCTCAAACAAATCGCCACAATCAACATTACAATCATAATTAACCCACAAATCAACCATGAAAGAAGACTCTCTAGCAAATTGTCCCAATGATTCTAACAATAATTCACGGATTTCACCAGTAGCATATGAAACATCACTCATTTTAAAATTACGTTGCTCACGATTTGGTGATATTGGAATGCCAGGATCAAGTTGCAGAGAATTATCGGTGTTAGAACTAGCAAATACCTCATTTAATGCAAGAGATCTTAAACTGTACGATGGTGGTGTTAACCTTTCAATTAAAAATGATAGATAAAGTTCTTGTTGTAATTTAAGATATGGGCGAAGTGTGCCGAAAACTGTTGAGATAACACGAATTGTTAATGATAACAATATCATGTTGTCTGTACGTGCCAACTAAATTACAAACAAATTAGTAAATTAAATATCTTAATCTGATAATAATATGTTATTAGATAAACTTTTTATTAAAACAAAAAAAATAATTACTTGGAATAGATATTTGCACAATTCATCGACAGCAAGATTACGTAAAACTTCAAATCGACCTATCGTCCGACCACCGACTTCAAATGCCACATTCAAAATACCAAGAGCCATGAGTCGCATAGTATCAGTGTGTTGATGATCGTGAGGATTGAGTAATGATATGAGAACACGAAGTAATTCACGTATTGAAGGTACTCCAAATGGTTTAGGGTCTGTTTTTTTTTTTAAATCAAAAAAATTTATAAATATTTATGATTATCATTATTATTATAATATGAAATATGAATAAATACCTGATTCTTTTTCTTCTTCATTCAAAGCTTCGCTAGAAGGTTCAGTAACTTTGTTGTAGATTAGTCATGTTTTGTATTATTTATCGTTTAGTTTGGTGTTGTATTTTGTAATTCAACAAAAATTACATTCGACATCTAATTGATGGTACGAATATAAATCTAGCTAATTACAACATTAAGGAATACTAGTTTGAAATAGAAATAAATACCGGTTGATAATCTCCCTTCTTGAGTTGTCAAAATTTCATAATTTGATTCCACCTCGTCATCTTCTACCACCTCTTCTCCTTTTCTATCTAACTTTACCAAATCATCATTATTAGAAATTGAAATAGTATTTGTGTTATTATTGCTAATATTATTGAATGGATCAGTGATGTTTTCCATGGATAAAGGAAGATGAGGTGATTTTGGATCTGGTGGTGCCATGCGAACTTGTAAATCTTGAGAAGAGCCATTTTCACCGTCACCGTTTTCACGAGAAAATAATGACGATGGTTTTTCCTCCAAAGATTTGAGTCTAGATAAGGTAAAACACAAAATTTATTAATATTATTTCAATAAATAAACAAAATAAATAAATAAACACCTTTCAAACATATTTTGAACCATTACAATCATTGTATGTTCTGCTGATCTACGCAGCATTTCTAATTTTAAAAAAAAATTATTAGTAAAAATAAAATTTAAAGCAACTAGATTATTTTCAAATGAATTTATTTTAAATTTGCACATACCACTAAGTCTCATTTGGCAACACATGCTTAAACCAGTCTCCATCATAACACAAAGAGCCTCATCGCTAAGGACTCGACCAACTTCAGAAGTTAAAGATAATCTTAGCACCTGTAAAATTTTCAAGAGCACAAATTCATCTGATACAGAATCACTTCCTTCAAATTTACAATGAGTTGCAGCAGATGATAGCATCGACATTGCTTGAGGCAGATTTGGTGAATTCATATTTAAAATTCCATATGTCAAAAATTTCTCCACACTTCCAAGTGCTGTTGCAGTTATAGGACCATTCGTATCTCCAGATTTGATAACTTCCAGAAAAGGCTCTAGTAATGCCACTGCATCAATCTCATTTAATCCTTTATATTTTTATAAATGAAATGTAATATATATCAATTAATTATCGTTAATTAATTAATTGAGAAGAAAGGAAAGTATAACAATATTAAACCTGAAATAGTTGATAAATGAGATCTAAGGTTTGAAAAACCAATCAGCAATGGACTTTCCTACAAAAATCAAATTAATTAAAATATCATCAACAAAATCTCTTAACAAGATATCTTAAATCTTTCTTACTTGATTTCTATAACCTATCTCAGCAACATAAACTCTTCTTAAACCCATGTTTATACCTAATCCACCCATATTTAAACCAGTTACGTTCATACCAGACCATCGAGAATTTTTTCTCATTGCGCTTGTAACAGATATAATTTCAGCATGTACCAAATTTGACCATTGTAATTCACATGTTGCTTTTATTTCATCTACCAAGTGATCGCCGCCGCCATCATTAATGATTTCACTAGAATCCTGGACATTTTGTAAGTTATTTATTTTGTTGCTTGAAAAAGATTCGGTAGAAGAGGAAAGCTTTAATTGAGACATTTCTTCTCTCTTTTTGTTGAAGACAAATAATCAAGAGAAAAATTTGAAAAAAAATTTATATATATTTGTGAAACATCTTTTTTAAAATCGTGCTACATTCAATAAAAAAAAAAGTTATAATCACGCAAGTACATTTTACTTGGAAAAAAAAATCTGAAAAATAAAATATAAGAAACAAAGCAATAATAACATTAATATTGGAAAATAGAAAATGTCACCGCCAAAAAATAACAGTAGGAAATTTAATAAACCAAGTCGTGGTACTGGCCATAGATTTACTAATGCACGAATTCTTGCTGAAGATGAAAGAAGGTTGAATGTAAGTTAAAAATTTTCATTGATACGAAAACTGATCAGTTAGTTTTAGTACAATATTGAAGGCTTACAAACATGTATGAAATTAGCAACGTGATAAAAAAGAGGAGAACGAGAGCAGCGAGGAAGAGAAGGAAAAGAGTGACGGCGAAGAAGAAGAAGGTGAAGAGGGAGCCAACACAACCGCTAGAAATACCAAAAAGACGAATGCGGAAAGGAAAGAATCTAGAAGTGAAGATGAGGATGAAACATTAGTATTTATTATATTTTAATTTAATTTAATTAATTAGTTGATTTTGAAAGTAAAGTAAGTTAGCTAGTTAGTTAGTTGACCTATGTGATCAATTAATCAATCAACCCAATAAATCAATCATTGTTGTTTCCAATATAGAATAAATCGGCAACAAATCTTATAGAGATAGATAATCCAAATAGAACATTGAGGAAAGATAATTTAAAAGCATCAGATATGTCAAATATAACACCTGAGATGTCTCGTAGAGAAAGGTAGATGATAAATGATTATAATTCATAATTTATATATATATATATATTTATGTTATTAAATTTAATAAATTTAATATGTTATTATTAAATATAGAGAGGCAGCAGAAAAAGAAGCAGCGAGGCAAAGATATTGGAAGTTGCATAAAGAAGGTAAAACAGAACAGGCCAAAACTGATTTAGCACGGTTAGCAATAATTAAAAAAGAGAGAGAAGAAGCAGCAATGAAAAGAAAAGCCGAGGCTGATGGTAAATATATACATATAAGTATATATATGTGTTTGAGTTAATATTACTAATTATTAATGTTATAATTATTGCTTCCGTTCACCTTTTTTTTTTTAAGCCAAAGCTACAGAATTAAAAGAAAAATTAGAAAGAGAAGGAAGAAAAAATAAAAAATGATAATAATCGGCATTTATCTTCTATTATTTATTAATTTACATGTATAAATTTTTTTTTGAATTTACAATATTAAAAATTGAATATGATGCGTTCGGTGCAATAATTATAATTTATTGTGACATCATATAACAATATACGATCAGTCAATTAATTATTAAAAAAATTTTTAATTGTAATTACCAAGATAATTATTTTGCTATTACTAAAGTTAATCCGATGGTTCTTTGAGAGGATTAGTTAATAATCTAAAGAGGCTTATTAACACTAAAACCAAAACTACTACTATTACTATAATAATATTAATTAATAATTACATGAATTTAAAAATATTTCGATCAGATTTTGTTGATCTGCTACTACTATTACTAACCTTAAATCACTGTAAAGCCCGTTGCTCATAGACTAGATCTACTGCATTACAACGTTAAGAAAAATAATGAATTAAATTTAATTTATCCAGAACCCAGAATTGCTAAAAATAATGTAGCCTCCCTAACTCCATAATGCAAATGATAATGATTATATTGAATAATTAATTTATATAATTATTAATTATAAAAAATAAACATCCTAAAGGAAAGTAAAAAGCAGAGATCATAAAATATGACATCCACCTATAAAATAAGCGAATAACGATAATACTAGTAATGTTATAAATCTAACAGGGTGTAAGATGAAACGTCGCAAATCTGACAAATCTAATTATAACGATAGAAATAAACGAGGTTTCCAATTTAGATATGAAATGGGATCATCCGCTACCATTACAACTAAAATTAAAATCAGAAAGTAAAAATTGCTGGCAAAAAAGCAATTCAAGTGAATCCAACAAATTTGTTACTGATAATGGTAAATGGAAATTTTTACATAGTACTGTTGTACGTGAAAATGAAATTATGTGAATTCGCAATTCACATATGTGAAATTCAAATTTACATGTGTGAAATTCAAATTAGCCAATCAGAATTTCACCCACTCCATAATATTTCAATTTCAATTTCACATACAACAGTCCATACAAAACAGTATTAATACCCGTCACCAGAGCAGAGACAATAGAAAATCAACAGTAGTGAAATCCGATAATGATCACCGGAAAAACACTTTTGACTAAGATGACGCGACTATAATAATAAGACAGATTTTATAAACAGTCATATGTGCAAGCTAAAAATAAATTAAAAATATGTTCGTTTATTATTATTCCATTTGAGAAAACAAAACAAAATCTTGAAGACATCACTTGACACTATCAAAGTTGATTAGGGTTTTATAATCCCTGGCGATGTTGAATATTTTGGTACTTAGTATTAGCCTTTGTTGCTTCGGAAAAAACGAAATACCGTGAGCTATTTCCAATTCATGATTAACAGTGATGTTTACTTGCCATTTTTGAACTTTGTGGTATCGATCGTCCGTCAAAGTGTCCGATATAATTAATATTAAAGAAATCGCCTTTCCATAAATTGTCATAAATCATCATGCAGATGAGACTTTTTAATGGTTTGAGCTCGTAGAACATGTCTCTACAACACAACAAAGCCATATTTTAAAAATATTTTATCAACTTTCATATTTCAAACGTAATTTTTGTTATAAGTTTTAGATACCTGCTAGTACAAATTTTAAAAAATCAAAAAAATCGTAAAAAAAAATAGCATTGTTATGTTATAGACAAGCTTCTTTAATCAGATGTTCAACTATCATCTTCTTCTTCCTCTCTTCTTCCATCTCCCTCTTCTTCATCATCTTCTTCATTTAATCAATACTAACATTATCTTCCTCGTCCTCATTATAACCAGAATTTTATCATCACTTTCAGTATTTTGTTTATTTTTTTTGGATTTTGTAATTTATAAACATTGATAAATTGATTTTGCAAACAAATTCTGAAATTCGGTCTAGGAAATTCTTAACGGGTTGATGAGCTACCCTTGAATTTGTTGTTATTGTTGTTGTTGACGGTGATAATGGTGAAGATGGTGAAGATGATTCATTGCTATTGTTATTACTATTATTAAGAAAATATTGTAAAACCTGAGCTGGTATCTTCTTAAACGCCTTTTATATCTTCCATTTGATTCATATAACTTACATTTACATCGTGCACATTTTTGTCTGTAACCAGGCAAGTTCAAAACTTCCTGATGTTAATGGTCTGGTCCAGAATCAATGAACCGCGGTCTGGTCTTAAGTATCGAGATCTTTTTGGATCATTGAATTTTTTTTTAATCATAAAAGCATTTATCTCAATTTAATTTGTTAAAAATATTATTTTATTATCATTAATTTCAAAAAGAATATACACAGTTTTACATTCAAAATTCTCTACGAACGCCTATTCTTTCTGAAATCCAACTTTTTAACAAATAGTTGCACGAACAATTAGAATTTCTATTCGTAATACAAATTCTTATTCGTTTTATTCGAATTACTATTACTCGTCTTATTCGTTTTATTATTATTCAAATTACTCGTTTTATTCGAATAAATTTTCAATGTACAGTGATTCGAATATACTCAAATTCATAACGAATTCGAACAAAAACCCTATCTACAGTCTGGGCCACGCCCCGGTCCGGTTCTTTGATTAGACTGGCGGTTGTCTTTGGACCAAACTTATTTTTATTTTATACAATTTTTTTTGTTACATCAAATTTTTCCATGTGCAAATAACTACGTGCGCATAATGCGCGCATTGGAATACCCCTAAACTCTAAAAATTTAATGCTATAGCACAATTAGTACAAAAAACCCCTTAGTACATTGGTACACACACACATTCTTTGGAAAAAAAATAAAAAAGGAGGTAGAATTTACTTTTTTACAAGATCTATTTATGAAATTGAAGGGCAATAGGAGTAAAATAAAGAAATTATAACAAACTTTTTGGTGCTTTATAATTAACGAATTTCAGCGCATATACTTACATACAATATATGTATGAATAAATAATGGCATTATCTTCAAAAAAGAAACTTTTTTCATTATTCACCCCGCCACCAATGTCGCCAATTTTATCACCTATAGGCATTAACAGTAACGGAACAATGATATCTAACTATTTTCCTACAATAGAAACCTTGGAAGATAGACAGCTTCAACAACCTACTCTTGAAGATATTCGTAAAGCTGGAGAAAACTTTGAGCGACTTGTTGCAGCTGCTGAAGCTTATCGTGATCTAACAATAAAGATTGGCAAAGCATCTAAAACTCTCAGTAAAGCGTTAAAAGATTATGGGAATAGTAAAGGAATGGATAATATTCATGTTATGTGTCTTCAAACTTCTTCACAATTTTATGAACAAAATTCAGAAGTTCAAAATAAATTGGTAGGTTTATTTTTTTTATTGGAATTATTTATAATTAGAAATTTTATATTTGATTAATATTTTTCTAATCCTTATTCTTTAGAACAAAGTTTTGCAAAAAGATTTTGATAGCCTTCAGAAAGTTTCGGAAAAATATTTCAAAAAAACAACTGTGAGATTTTCCCTTATTACATAGGATTTTTTTTATAAATATAAATATATATATTATAACATTATATTATATTAATATTATTTAGAAAGAAGAAAAGTTACACAATGAGCATCTTAATGAGTTGGATAAGCAAGTAAAAAAGATTGGAAAAGATTATGAGAAAAAATCTAAAAAAGATAGTAAATCTTCGTTGGAGTCTCATGATGTAAGAAAATAAGTAAAAAATAATATTTTTTTTTTTTTCAAAACAAATCCAAGCTAACTTTATCAATATATTTCGTAGAAATATATATCATCATTAACAACTGTCGGATCTGATATTGCAAGAGCTAGAGCTGAATACATGAATCAAGCAATTAGACGTGAAAGAAGCACGCATTGTGTCATTTCTCAAATAATTTGTAAAATAGCTGAAGGAAATTTTGCATATTTTAATGATTCATTGAAGAAGTGTGGTCCATTTATTTCAAAGATGAAAGAATGGGTTCCATTTGCTGGCGAGGATATGCCACAACCTCTTGATTTGGATAGTTTTTTGGAGGATCAAGCACTCAGATCAGATGATAATTCCATAAATTCCGATAAAACATTACCAGAACCATATCCCAACATTTCAGAGAAAAAGTCATCATCAACGCCAAATTTACTAAATTACATTAATAATAATTCACAATTATCATTTTATTCATCACCTAATTCACTACCGCCACTACCACAATTTACAGTAGAACCTAATGAGATAGAAGTTCCAAAATACACACAAACTCCCGAGGAAATTCATAAACCTCTTCTTCCAATTGAGTCAACGACAAAAAAAGATTCAACATCCACAAAACAGTCAAAAACAACATACCACTCTATAAAAAAATCATTATCTCTCAATTTAGATGATTTGATTAATAATAACAATGGTGACAACAATGATAGTAATGGTAACAATAATAATAAAGAAAAAATTGGAAAAATTGATGAAAATGATGAAAATATAATAGATGCAACACCTGTTACACCAAATGATAATGATAATGATAATAATAGTGACAGATCACAAAAAAATAATTCAAAGCCTATTAAAAAAGAGAAATCATCATCTGGTTTATTATCAAATTTCTCAATCGGCGTTCATTTAAATGATAGTCCTTTTTTACGTAATGAGAAAGTTATCGAAGTTAAACCTGCTGAAGTTTTCAGCGAAAAAGTTTTTACAAAACCTATTTTTGAAAATATTGAGGATCTAAAGAATAATGCCGATGATGACGACAACGATGGTCATGGCGACGACAATAATGTTGATAATATTGATAATATTGGTGATCATAAGAATAATAAGAATCATGATAAGAATGATAACGATAACAATAAAAGTAACAATGATTCATCACCATTGTCTTCTTCAAAACATATAAATAATAATAAACCAGATGACGATAAAAGTCAAAAAAATGAATCAGTAAAGCTAAATAATTTTAATTCTACTATTACCGCTGATGTTGGTGTTGGTGTGAAGAGTACTTTTGACAAAGATTCTCCAAAGTTGAATAGTGAAAATAAAACCTCTATTATAGATAATAGTAATAATAAAAGTAAAACACCAATTATCTCTAAAAAAATTTCAGATGATGAATATTTAATTGTATCTAAAAAATCACTTGGGTATAACCAAGCAATTATTTCACATGAAAATATTCAGACTTCACAACCACCACAAAAAATGCCAACAAAAGATGAATATCAAATAATTGATGCAGATAAACATCTTATTATGCAACAGAAATTAAGAAATTCTCCACCATCGAATAATTTATCGGAAAAATATGAAGGTCGTAATGATGAAGCTATCCAAGAAATTTACCATTCAAAGAGTTTACATTATGCAAATCATAATATCAATAATGCTAACAATAATATCGATGATCCGGATGTAATTTATTCAGATTATCAACAACAACAAAAAAATTACAATTTCACGTCTAACGAAATTTTTAATAATGATAACGATTATGAATCAAATCACCATGATAATTATAATAATATGTTATCATATATGCCAAAATCATTTACAAGTCGTGAAAGATCAACACCTCGTGATGATTATGAAGTGTATACAGCAAGAAAATCTTATTCTACCACTCCATTACCAATTAATAAACGTGGTAATTCAGTTGCTGATATCAAAGAACGGTTCATGACGAAACATAATAGTATTGATAGCAATAGATCTGTAAGCAATTTAATTAATATTTTTTTTTATAAAGTTAGTAATATATGAAATATATGAATATATTTTGATCGAAATGACTTCTTTTTTTTTTTTTTTTTTGATAAATAGTCTTCACCGCCAATTCGTGATTTACCAAGATCTATATCAGGCAGAGTTAGTGATATAAAATCAAAACTTGGGGATGAGAGAAATCGATCAACGAATCCTTCTTATCTCCAATTACCAAAATCAAATCGTGGTGGAGATTACCATCGTAATAACATGAGTTATAATGATATTAATAACAACAATTTTTACAGTGATGATTTGGTATGTATTTTAAAATTAAGTTTGTTTACAATAAAAAGATATACATATATATATATATATATATTAATATTAATATATTTTATAAATAGCAAAATGTTGATGAACATTTTATTAATAATTCAGAAGAAATTTTGACATCTGGAGGGAATCATCATTGTAATTGTTATGAATGCCAACAAAAACTTGTTTCTATGAATTCAAAAATTATTACTTCCTCACCACCATCAATCATCAATAATAATAATACGAGAACAAATCATCATAATCAACAACATCATAATTCAAATCAACATCAACGTCATATTAATCATCAAACTCACAATCAGAATCTTTATCATAATCATCATAATCAACATCATAATTCATTTAACAATTATGGAAGAAGTGTTGGATCCAGATGAGAAAATTAACGTATTATTGATTTATTTATCTTTAAACAATTGTATTATAGTGTAATAGTGTATTATTTTATTATTTATTTTATTTATTATTTATATTATATATTATTTATTTTTATAATTCATTAATTTATAATTTATTATGTATATATATTTTATTTATTTATTATAATTATTATAATTAAATGATTATTTTTATAAAATACATATATATATATATTTTTATAATAACAAATAATTTCCGGGAACTAACTGACTTTTATCTATTTTTTTTTTAATAAATAAATACAAAATAAAAATGTGATGTAAAAGTTTTTTTTTTACTTTATTATTATTACATATATGTGATTAAATATTTAAAAATAAAATTTTAACTCATCCCATCTACAATTACAAACTCCTTGTCATTATTAGTATTTCTAAGAATATTATTTATTTAAAAAATTTCATTTTCGATACAGGATTTTTAATTTGATTTAAAATACCGCCAACAGAACTAGATTCATTGTTATTTGTATTTGAGAAGAATCCAGAAATAGGATTGTCTTTTAGATCTGAGAAAAATCCTGACTGATCAGGATTCTCTTGCTGATTATATTCAAAAGGCTGTTCTTGATATGAATTATCCTCTGGTTGATACATATCCTGCGACCCGTAAATATCTTGTGATTGTTGATACGAGTCATCTTGTGGTTGGTATGACGAATCATCTTGATTATACATATCCTGCGACCCGTAAATATCTTGTGGTTGTTGATACGAGTCATCTTGTGGTTGGTATGATGAATCATCTTGATTATACATATCCTGCGATCCGTAAATATCTTGTGATTGCTGATACGAGTTATCTTGTGGCTGTTGATATGAGTTATCTTGTGGCTGATATGGGTCTTGTGGTTGATTATAATAATCATTTTGCGGTTGTTGATAATAATCATTATTATCTTGTTGTGGGAATTGATCTTCTTGTTGATATTGTGAAGAATCATTATAATACTGTTGTGATACATCATCTCCACCACTATAATCAGTTTGTCCGTAATGATCACCATCTTGATTGGGATCATAATATGAATCTTGTATATCTTGATCTTCTGTTTGATCTTCCACTTCCTGGTCACCTTCTTGTTGCTGTTGGTCATCACCTTCTTGCTGTTGGTCATCACCTTCTTGTTGTTGGTCATCATCTTCTTCTTGTTGGTCATCATCTTCTTCACCTTTATTTTGTCTTCGTCGTGGTTTGTTTTTTCTATTTGTCGGCTGGTGTTTTGGGATTTCTCTTGGTCTTTGCTGATGTTGCTGCTGCTTCATTAGTAACCCTGGTCGCTGCTGTTGCTGTTGTGGCGGTAATCTTTGTTGTTTCATTCTTAAATCTTGCTGCCTTTGTTGCTGTTGTCTCATTCCTAAATTTGGCTGATTTTGTTGTTGATAATTGTAAGGAGTATTACCTGAATTAAATGGTTGTTGTTGAGGTCTTGGTAAAGAAGAATTGAATGAGGAAGAAGCAGCTCCGAATGGAAGCTGATTCGATGGTTGTGGAGGATAATATCCAGTTTTTGGAGGTATAGGAGAAGGATTGTATGAGGAGGAAGTAGCTCCGAATGGAAGTTTACTTGATGGTTGTGGTGGTGTAGTATAGCCAGGTCTTGGAGACGTAGGAGAAGAAACAGCTCCGAATGGAAGTTTACTTGATGGTTGTGGTGGTGTAGTATAGCCAGGTCTTGGAGACGTGGAAGAATTGTATGGGGCGGAAGTAACAGCTCCGAATGGATATTGAGTTGATGGTTGTGGTGGTGTAGTATAGCCAGGTCTTGGAGGTACAGGTGAATTGAATGAGGAGGTAACAGCTCCGAATGGAAGTTGATTTGATGGTTGTGGTGGGGTATGTGAATGACCAGGCGGTTTTTTCTGGTACAATGGCTGTTGATATAACGATGAACTGGATGAATTGGATGAATTGGATGAAGGTGACGGTGCAGGTAAATTTGGTGATAACTGAGTTGGATTTTGATTGAATAGTTGTGGTTGATTTAATTTTTGATATTGTTGTGATGATGACTGCTGAATGGGCGAATTTATTCTTACTGAAGAATCTGGTTGTAAGAATTGTGTTGTATTTGGCCCAGGAGAAGGTGTGGGGGTAGGTTTTGAATGTAAAGGTAGCTGCGGTGGTGGTAACTGTTGTAATTGTCCTTTTTGATTTATTGGTGGATGTGGTGATGAAGGTGATGAAGGCGAATGATAAAAGACGTTGGAAGTAGAACTTTGTGTTGAATGAGGTGGATTATTGAAGCCATTATTATTATGCATTGGTGGTGGGTGAGGAGAATTTTGAAAAGGTGGTTGTATATTACTGGGCGCAGTCTCATATGAATAAAATTCATCCAATGAATAAGTATCAGAAGTGTGCTTATTAGTATTATTTTGCTGAGAATATTCAATAGTCTCTGGATTTATTGGTTGCTGCGGCTGTTGTAAATAATTTGGTGGATAGGGTTTTTTAAGATTGTCGTATGCAAAATTATCATCATCAACTGGATAATTATTTAATATACGATTATCATTGTCATAATCATAATCATTATTAACAACCATATTATTAGTTGTATAATTAGGTTGTTGCTGTGTTGTTTTTTTAAATGGATCATATCTATCTGCTGGATCTGATACCATTGTAGTATTAGTAATATCATCCGAAGACTCATCATCTTCAATGGAAAAATTTTTCCTAATTACATATTTTCTACCAAGGAAAAAGGCTATTGCAGCTATGACTGATATAATTAAACTTATCAATACCAACCAATAAGCGATACCAAAGGTTGCTTTATAAGAATCAGCCGTTTTACTATTCGAATTAATCGTATTAATTATAGTCATCACGCCATTATTAAACATTATAAAGTCAACAATGAAGGAAAATAATAATATCCCGGTTGTTAAAATTGATATTTGCGATGCAATACCTAATAAAAGCTTTGCAGCACGTATATGAGCTATTATACCAAGTAATAATGTGACAAGTAATGTAAATATTGCTGAAATTTTGATTTAAAAAAAAAAAAAGAATAAAAATTATAGTAATTGTTTAGAGAAAAATAAATAAATGTATATATATATATATATATGTATGTATAAAGAAATTAAATAACCCTACCAAATATATGAACTACAGTTAAATAACCTAAAGCGCTACCAACAGTTGGAATAGCAACACCATCCGGAACTACTATATTCAATCTTGAACGATCTTACAAAAATAAAAAAAACAAGTTAGATTAAGGATATAGATTAGATTAGATCATTAATTAAATTAATCGAGATTAAATTAATTGATATTTATTTATTTCCAATTTCATGATTATTTTTTTAATAACTTACCAAACGTGTATCCAAATTTTGGACTTTCGCATTCTAAAGGACCAGTATTTTGAACGCAAGTACCCCATAGTCCAAGTGTTAAAAATCTAGTGTCGGTAGGATCGCTTGGTGTTATTTTAACAAAAAAAATTGCTTTTATAAAAGTAGTGGATAAAACTGCAACTACAATTGCAGCTAATGTCAAAAATGCCAAAAATGTTCCTGGAGTTGCTCCAACGTTTATGATAGACATTTGTTATTATTGTTTAAATAATTTTTATGGATTGAAGAATTATTTATAAAGAATAATATAATTATAAAAACATATTAATTTATCTTAAAAACTTTTTTTTATTTAAAAAAAAAAAGAATTCTTCAGAATTGATTTTATTTTATTTTTATTTAATCAAAACATTATCCTGTGTAATAAATAAACACTCCATGAAAATTAATTAAAATAGATTTTTTTTTTCTTTATTATTATTATTCTGCATATGCAAAAAAAAATGTCACAAAGAAATTTCAGGGATTGAAATTAGTATATTAAAACTTTATAACAAATGGTGCTTGCTGATATTGCTCATCATTACTAATTATGTTCCCTTAATCTTTTTTAAATATTGTCTTCCCTGAACAACATTATAATAAATGATCTAATATATCGCTTTTTCTACTAAACAATATATGATTCTAATGACTCTATTTAGGAAATTTGTATTCTCATGCAATTTCCATAGAAACTGGTAATGGTAGCTCGGCTTGCATGCAGTTCGAAGGATCCTAATTTGGTAAATAAATAAAAACCGATTGAATCTACGTCATCATAAATTGTAGTCGAGGATTTTACAAAAGAAAGATGATCTTGAGTTGCTGGTGGATTTGTTCATCAAGCTCCTCACGATTCGGCTCTGTGAGTGATAATTTATGAATTGTTTGATCCATATATGGAACAATGTTCCAAGATTATTTTCTGCCTCCTTTTTGGATTATAATATTCACTTATTGATCTCTATATTCAGATAGTATTATAGCGTTAAAATAATGGATCTTCAAGCATCGAATAGAACTAGAATCCCATAGCCTGATAATTTTTGTCACAAACATTTTGATCGCATATGTGAACCATCAATGCGCATGTGTGCATATACTCAAATAAAGCTTGGTCAAAAAACGAATGGAATCTTAAACAATATCACCTCTCGTAGACATTAGATATGGGTCAAGTAACCAACTAAGCTATATTCTTCACAAATGACGCAAACACTCTTATGCAAATTTTTTGACCATCAAGAGCAAATGACTCTCTTGCGTATACTATTTGGTCATCAAGAGCAAGCATCCAACAAGAATGTCTCAGGATGCGTGAGAGATCAAAAAAAAAAGCATTGTTTGTTCATTTACATTATGATCAGCTTTGTATGCGAGAATTACATGAAAAAATTGTTCGGCTTATCGATGCCGCATTTATTCCATAGTGATTCCATGGTTATTGATTGTATTTTTTCAATGTGTGTGACTTCTGGTTTATATTAATATGACAAGAAAAAATGGATGATACTAATACTAGTAGTACAATTACGATAATTGATTTCCCAAATAATGTAAATAATGAACCATAATGTACTACCAACACAAACTTAACCTTTGTAATTTGATGATATTGTTATTGCAGTATTAATAATTATTATTTCTTAGCATTAATTGTCGTAGTACGAATTAATTATTATTATTATTATGGGAATAGGAATTATTTTTTGTAAGAAAAATTCAAAATTCATCTTTTGATTGGAACCATATTTGTATAGTTCTATCATAATCAAGGTCTGGTCCTTCCAATCCTACTAACATCAACATATGTAATGTTTTGTCGAGAAAAACTATATTCACACTAGTGTTGGTCGCCAAAACCATTTTGAAGAGACGAAAGTCAAAACTAAAATTAAACCAAAATTATTTAGTTTTTGGCCATTCTACTGGATTAAAAATATTCATGGGGTGAATAAATAAGAGTTTGGAAGATATTGATTAATTTCTTCTATCACTGATGACACAAAACTAACTATGTCATTGATTACTTCATATTTAAGATGACTTTTCATTGTCAAAATCTGGATGCTCTTTTTGTATCCTGCTAATAATTGATTTGATCATCAATATCAGAGAATTTAATTGAATAGTTTGGATAATTACAGTATAAGCTTTAATATTTAATTAAAATTGCAGCAATCAAAGATATCAAGCTATTAACCAATTGAATTAAGTTAACCATTCATATTTAAATAATTTAAATTTTGCTTGAAAAAGATGATGGCACTTCAAGTGTATTGAATATCATCCTCCTTCTATTTCCTGAAGAAACCTTTCATTATTATAATCATCAACCTATAAAAAATATACTGTATTAAGTGGCACATTGCACAACTGTCTTGATCAAAGCTTTGGTCAAAATTAAACCTATTATGATCATAATTTTAATACTTTCTTGAGAAGTTTTAACGAATATTAAGCATTAATAATAAGAAAAAAATAATTTTTATATTGAGTTTTTTTATAAATAATAATTTATCCAATGTGCCACTTAATTAAAGTTATTAAGCATTTAAGATTAAGATCCATCTGTGCTAGTTTTTTTTTTCGTCAAAAAATATATCGGGGCCTGATGTTGCGAAATTTTCACGAAAATTTTTAAGGAACGCGATTTTTTAGAAATTTTTCTTAACAATTATATTTTTTTGTTTGAAGCTAAAAAATCGAAAGAAACTATTGTACCTATTACAGGCAAATATGTTGATGAGAGTTGAATGAATTAAGTGGAATAGGTAACGGAATTTGTAACATGCTAATACTAAATACTGGCCCTCGTTCGATACCCTTGTTGTGTAGTCATTGTCACCAAATTTGGTACATAACTTCTTTATCATATGTAAATATAATCTCGGCCTTAAAGTAAATTTTTGATTTTATATTCATATATGTAGAAATTTGTCCGGTTCCAAGCAAAAGTGTCCAAATAATAAATATTTACACAGTTTTGTCCACTTAGGTATGTCTATTTTAAACATTTATTCTTACATAAATAATGATTATAATAATTAGATAATATGGGGTCTGGACAATAGAAACGGACCATGTTGTGAAAATGATGTTTTGAGAAAATTTAAAAAAAAGATCTGCATTTCAAGTAATTTACTATTGTTTTTAAAACTTTAATGGAGGGTATCTCAAAGTTTTATTAAGCAAAGTGGGTATGGTTTCTAAGCCAAAAATGTTCTACATGAGGAATTACATATAATAGTGATACTAACTCAAAATTGCTTTTTTCACAACATGGTCCGTTTCTATTGTCCACACCCCATATAAGCAAGCAACAATAATGATTAAATTAAAAGATGTTTTATCTCTGGCTTTATTCGTTTAATAATATATGCATAAATAAATAATTAATATAACTATTGAATGATTGATAAAATGTTCATCAGTAGATCTACGAAGCTTGCCTTTAACACTTACCTTCGATCATGCCTATACAAAAACTATTGAATTTTTGACAAAATTTGCTTTGCAAGCTTTGTAAATCTTATCTTTAACACTTAATTCGATTACTCCTATACAAACTATTGAATAATTGGTAAAATGTTCATTAGTACATTTTACAAAACTTGCTTTGCAAGATTTGTAGATTTTGTCCCTAATAAAGATGGGGCTGCTGCAACACTTGATGTTGCAACATTGTGTTACAACAACATTGTGGAAAATCAGATTTAAATGTCCGCAATTAACTAAATTACTATATATATTAATATTAATAGCAAAATATTTTTCCAGTTGTCCACAAAATATCAGCAATTTATTCTTGGTACCTAAATAAAGTTATATAAGAATATTATCTAATAAAATATCAATATCAAAAATAAATATTTTACACAAAAAGTATTAAAAAAGGATTGCGGATAATTGCGAAATTGCGGTTTGTGCAACAAGTCACAATTCCGCAATCCTTTTTTATAAGCTACAATTAAAATTTATTCTTTATATTATGTTCTTGTAAACATATCAATAACAATTTATAAAATAATCCTTTTTTTTATTCACAGTATAAACTAAATAATATTTATTTAATGTTTAGCTTGCAGATCGTTCCTATAATAATTAGTGATCAACCATAACAAAAAATTTGTTATACAAAATGACATTACATGATTTCATTTTGCAATTTAAGATGATCGGTACATTTTTTAATAATAAAAAACGGCTAATATTTATTAATAAAAAGTTAAAAAGTCTCATTTTTGTAAATTCAAGTATAGCCCAGTGTTGAAAATTAGGTTGACGAATCTGTTAATTGATTGGTTGAAACTAAGGATGTTAGCCGAAATGGTTTTTGAAAAAATCAATTTCGGCAAGCAATTTCGGATTTACAATATTCTTTATATCAATAGGCATAAAAAAACTACTGAGAATTTTGGCTATTGAGTTAAAGTGTTCAAATAATTTCAGATATAATTTCAACAACTAATAAAGTTGATTTTGGTAACTATGAAAAACTATTTCGGCATTTTGGATTCGGCTAATATTCTTAGTTGAAACAGTAGATCAGCCCTAAATTTGTATCACAAATTACACAAAAAGTTTTTTTTTACTTCAAAAATCCAGAGATACACGATAGTAAAATTTGTTTTTTTTATTAAACAAAAAAATTTTTTTTTAAGTGAAGCAATTTATGGTTCTAATGTATCTAAAAATCATATCATTTTTTGTTTGCGGAATATTTTTGTCATGTTATATTGGGGAGAAGTATTTTAATTCGTCGATTTTTACACATTTTTGACCCGGATCGACATATAGATTCTATCACGTATCACGAATTAAAAATTATTATAATAAAGTGTTTAATTGATGATCCTTTTATGATCAGGTAAATATAATTTTTTGAATAATTTCAAATCTCAGAAGAACTACTACCAAACTCATATCCTAATGTCAAACAGTTACTATATTCCTGTTGACCTTTTAAATAAAGGCTCTTTAGTAAGTGAATTACACTATGGACCATTTTCTTGGTATTGATAATGGAAAGCATTTCCTATTTGTAGTTTCTTTTTTGGGTCAGTAAAAAAATGATCTTTGAAAAGATAGGTAGGTGTTTTGACAATATACAATAAGCCAATAACATAAACTACCACATTTTGAAAACAATGGCTATTATTAATCAATCACTGGATTATTTTAAAGTCTGAGTATCATTATTATTGTTACTAACTTATATTATATTTAAAAAAATAGATTAATGAGCAGACATAAGATCATTGGTTTATTTCATTTCACTCATTCATTCATTAAAAGAATTTTATTAATACAGATTACTAACACTGGATTAATGTTTGTTTTCTTCTATGGTTGAACAATGGATAATTGTTACACCACCATCAAAAATGTTCTAGTTGGTATTGAGAGGTAAATCATATTGTGAGATAGTAAAATAAGGAGGTCCCCACTTGCCGATCCAACCAAATTACTGTAGAAGTCACGTGACAATCATCACATCATTTCTATTTTTAATATTATATTTTGTGATACTGCGCCACAAGTTGCGCAGTATCACACGAACAATTATTTCTATCATATTTCTATATATTTATATTTCAAGAACTTATTCAGCTGGTGCAAATATTTACTTTGAATTAATAACTATCATTTTGTAATGCTCAGTTGACCCAAATATTTATTTTACATTAATAAGCATATTTTATTGGACAAAATAGAGTAAAAGTCATGTTATTTGTAGCACCCAGGAGGTATAAAAAGATTTGGTTTTAGACCAAGTCAGAAAAATGTTTATAATTATTGATCTAGTACTTAATACTTTCCTAACACCATTGTAATAATCCTATTATTATTGTTAATAAAACACATAACATATTTTACCCTAAAAATATTAATCTGTCCTTTGCTGAACCCAGAAAGTAACCACCACTTTAATTATTGAGACACATCTCAAGGGGATGCCTTTGGGATATAATTATTTACATAGAACCTAGGGACCCTTTTATCCAGGAAAATAAAAGTAAATTTTGACCATAAGTCAGCGAGTAGGCTGTGTGTCATATATATAAATAAAGGAAACTTGACTGTAAGTCAGTGAGTAGGCTGTGTGTCAAACAATAAATCAATTGTAAGTCAGCAGGTAGGCTGTGTTGAGCATTAAATAACCTATTAATTAGGAAACTTGGATTGCATGCTCGCAATATTATGTACAACTGGACCCAGACACTTTACTGACACCCACTTTACCAACAGGACACTTTACTGACACCCACTTTACTGACAAGACACTTTACCGACAGGATACTTTGCCAACAGGACACTTTACCAACAGGACACTTTACCAACAGGACACTTTACCAACAGGACACTTTACTGACAAGTATTGTATTAACAATTTGCCAAGGACTGTGTGAAGACCTGAATAACTAGCTAAAAATTTGGTTTTTTACAACAAGTTAAATCAACTGTTAATTAACTAATAATACCACTTATTATCCTTACTTTGCATCAAAAACAAGTTCATAAAAATACAATATAGATACATGTGTAATATAATTTTTTTTTGTCTGATGAAATTGATAAAAATTGCATATTCATGTTATTTTTTTATTAAATTTATTTATCAATCACAAAAAACTTTTATTGTGACACATTAATTATTATTATTTTTTTTTTTATATATACACAAAAAAAATTTTAAAATGAAATATTATGGGCAATGCCCCAAAGAAACTTTATAGTTGATCTAATGTTATGATCATTTAATACTGTTTGAATCTGTATTTCATGATTACAATCTTGTGGTTTCTGTGGGAGTCATGGTGTTCCTCGCAAGACCATTTCTATATCAAGTTCAACTTTACTTAAATTGTTGGTAAAGTGTCTTGTTGGTAAAGTGGGTGTTGGTAAAGTGTCCTGTTGGTAAAGTGGGTGTCAGTAAAGTGTCCCAGACCCATGTTGATCAAATAAATGATTTTTAAATTTTTAAATTTTAAAAAATGCGTAACAAGAAGAATGACAAAAAAAGAAATCAAGAAGAAGAGCTTGTTGCAAAAAGGTAAGTCATTATTTATTTAAAAGAATGGTGATGGTTGTTGCAATCATTGCAATGCATTGTCATTCTAGTTACTAAAAAAACTTTGTATTTTTATTAGAGTATCTACTGTTACAAAAAGAAAAAACAATGATGATAAAGTAATAAATAAACAGTTATTTCTCTTCAAATGGACAAAAACTATTGTTTTTTTCTTCTCATAACAATGTTTTAATATATAGGAGAATGAATTGATGGTAATGAATTTGGAAATTCTCAAACTAAAGAAAAGAATAAGTGAATTAGAAAAGCAGCATCAGGAAATTTTTTCTGACGCAAGTTTACATCTGTAAGTTTTAATATGAAATGACGTAATATTTCGCATAAAAAGGATGTAATATTTACACTGAATGTAATAATTGTGGGCCCCATAATATTATGTAAATTTACGGTGGGAAAAGTTTCCTGATGAGTTTAGGTAAAGATCTTGCAACATGACAAATATTGATGTGATAATATACATAATTTTCATATTACCTATTTATTCATCTGTGATATGTTTTTTTAATGTTAAATGACCAATCCAATTTTATTTTCAACAATTAATATTTTTCCTTTTGTCTTATATTCTTTTAACTTGGCCTCATAAAGAAAGTGGTAAGTAAAATGTCAAATATTTTCAATGAATGATTTATGCTTTTTTCTTTGTTGCACTCTTATGATTTCTTCTTTATACATTCATCTCAACATTTTTACTTATAGGAGACAATTCAAAACATAAAGTGGATGAAGATATTTCCCATCCTCAATATATAAAATGCCTAAAGACATTGCCAAGTCCTTTAAAAATATCACAAACCAACATATGGGCAAATTATCAAACTAAGAATGATGCTGTTATTTTAAATCTCTGACCACCCACTGCTGCTGGTTTGCCTCTTGGTCTATGTCACCCAATATTTCATAATTTTCAGAAAGAAGTCTTTGGAAAAGTCAAACTTGATGATGTTGATACAAAATTTATTTATGGTTTTAGTTGCCAGATGTCACGTCCATTTTGAGAAGAAAGACAAAGGAAATTTTATGCTAAAAATATGTTAGGGAAATACTTGGAAAGTACTTTTGTTGAATACAAATTTGATAATAATGGATCAACTGATGGTAGTATCATGTTCATAAATGATGACTTTGAAACTTTACTTCTTAACATGGAAGTGAAGCCCGAAATAGGTATTGGAAATGGATGTCCATACATCCAAGGAACAGCTTATTATACTGAATTCATAAAGAAGTTCCAAAAAAAAAGACATTATTAAAAAATCACAATTTCCTGTATTTCTCTTGCAAATTGCAGGACCTTGGTTAGGAGTTTCTGGTGCTGCCTACACAAAGAAAGCAGCCTGTGGACCTCTTACTCCAATGATGCCATTGTTTGTTATTCCACAAAGTAGTACATCTTACAATGAAGAATATGGATTAATGCATCAAACTGCATGTGTGCTTCATAAGGTTTCTGGTCCAAACTGTTTTCTCAAAGCCCAAACTAGTTTGGGCAATTTGGGCTTCTCAACATTTTCTATAAGCATGAACATTAAAAAACTATATAAATCAACTTGTTTTAACTTAAACAACTTTAAAATAATTTTGCCAATTTCGGCTAATAACAAAAAGTAGTTTGGGCTTATAAAAAAATAAATTTTGCCCAAAGTATTTGGGCAATTTCGGCTACTAATAGAAGCAGTTTCGACCAGAAACCTTAGTGCTTCATGCATTAAAGAATAAACTTGCCAATCTAAAAGAATGGTATGAAGATTTTCAGCATAAGATACCTAAGATTACTGCAACAAGATCATCACAACTTCATTTTCCATATATCAACTTCATAACCATTAAAGGTGAAACTTTTGAACTAACATATAACCAAGAACTGCCAAGTCATCATCTTGTATTTGAGGCAACTGCTCAAAATATTGCATCATCAAGAGATATCAAGGTTACTATCAAATTTACCAAAAAAGACTCAAGGGAATCTTGCAATTTGTCTGAAAAAATTGAAATGAACCTAAATTGGAGAATCATTTTGACTGGTAGACAATTAAAGATTTTTCAGAAGCACGTTTTGAGCATAATATTAAAGTGCAAGCATAACTGCAAATTACATACAAAAAGATAAATTAATTTCTTTTTTTTATCACAATGATCTTTATTGTAATGTGGGTAATAGTAAGATTACTATAGTATTTGTTTATTCCTATGGTTAGGAATTTTTCTTGCTTTCAGCTTCATCATCAAATAATAAAATTATTATCAAAGCATTAATCAGACCAATTCTTTTTTCTGTTGTTGCTGTTTTCATATAATTAACATTGGAATAATCTCTGTTTGCATATGAATGATTAGATTAAGTGTCATCAATACTCAATCTGAAATCATATAAAATCATGAATTCTGACTCAGACCCAAAATCCCAGTATTACAATTTGAATAGGAATGACAATTATATCTGAGTTGGTATATGAATACTATACAAAAGATCAATAAATAAATAAAGTTATTTTCTCTGGAAAAATACATATGAAAGAAAATAATAGTGAGAAGTGAATTAAACTTCTGAATGTATATTTGAATGATTTAATAGAGAAAACTCTTACATATATATTGGATTAAAGTTTTAAAGTTGAAACTCTATTAATATGATATTGTAAAAAAGATACAAATATATGTAATCAATTACAACCACTGCCAAGTAGAAAAATCACTCTATCCTAGAATAGGTGCATACCTGACCAACCTGTATTATTTCCACTAAAATAGCCTGACTAAAAAATTAAGAATTTAGTCACTATTTGAAATTCTAAATTGGGAGTAACCCTGATTGTATTCCTACTATAATGATAATAATAAAGATAAAATGTATTATTTCAATAATTCCCCTATGACCTAATATTCACTTTGTCTGGTTTTGTTGCAGTATGTCCCATATATTTTATTTATCATTATTATGATTTTCATCAAGTGATTTTGATGCCAATTTAGAGTTGACTGTCTATATATATATATATGACTTATTGACATTATATATTATTGCATAAATCAAAAATAAAATTAATGTTCATCGAAGTTGAATATTTACATATAATAGATGAATTAAAGCCATATCTATTGAAATAATTCTTATAAAAAAATATTTGTTACGTCATTAATTCGAATTGATCAGCCCGTGTTACACGATGATGGTGAATGAAAATAAAAGGTTGTTTCTTTTGAATTTGTTAGTAAAAGATATACCTTCTTCTTCCTTATATAATTATATAATAATTTTACAATTGACGAAATCTCTTATTTTAACGAACTCTATTCAATTAAATATCATACATACATTATTATATTATAATTTCGAATATTTGTATGAAATTAAAATTATTTGATCTTATCAGTTGATTGAATTATACAAACTGATATTTAATAATCAACAAAATAATAACAATAACAATGGCTGAAGATCCATCACTTTTACACCCAGTTAACATCAAAAATTTGAGTGGTAGCGAAGAAGAAGATGAGGAAGAAGTTGATGATTATGATGACGACGACGAAGAAGAAGAAGAGGAGGAGGAGGAAGAAGAGGAGGAGGACGACGATGACGAGGAGAGAGATGAAGAAAATACCGATGGTGATGGTGATTACGAACATCCTAAGAAACGAGTTGCATTGACTTCTGAAAAATCAAGACAGCAACAACATCAACAACCTTCTTCCAATCGTAGTCGAAGTAATAATGATGATAAAGACCGACAAACTATGTCTTCATCAGATGATGATAATGGGTCTGATGAAATTGATGATGATAGCGAACCTGGTCAACAACCATGTAATACCGGACGTTCAAACTTATCATTATCCAATAACCACAAGAAGAATAGTTCAAGACGATTTCTCAAAGATAACAATTTAACATTAGATTTTGAAAAATATTTAGTCGATATCAAAGAAGGTTTTGTAAATTTAAAAATAATGAATTGTTCATTATTTATGCGAGGATATTCTCTATTTATCATTATTTATTAATGATTGATTAATTAATTATATAACTTTTTATAATTAGTACCAAATCCAGCAAGAACAGTTGAAACTTTGACCAAAACTATCGATATTTTTTTAATGGGTCATAAAGACTCTGAAGTTAATCAACATCTAATTGATGCTTTATACAGAGAATGGATTCCAAAATATGCATTAGTACTTTTAAACAGAAGGTACTTGATAGATTATCTATCATGTAGAGATATAATGAAATATTTTTATTTTTATTAATTGTTATTATTAATTTTTTTAAATTTTTTTTCCTCATTCATTCGTTCATTAATCTGTCAAACAATCAAACAATATACTTAATCATGACAACTATAACTATAGTTATTCCACAATAACCACTACACAAGGAAATTCAATTGCTAACATAATCTCTATGTTTTTAATAAAAGTCCTGGATATCGCCATTCACCTCATTAGGAAACCAGAAGAAATGAACGTTAACCACGAAGAATTTCCTTTGTCAGAAATCATGCAAGATGCTATATATCGAATACTAGGAGATGAAAATGCCCCATTTTATCGTCGATTTGATAGTAGATTCGATTCTCGGCGGTTAGATGTCGGTGTCAACACTGTGATGATGGGAATTGTTGGCGAAAATGAAGAGGTTTGTAAATTAATTATTCATATTATTGATATTAATATTATCATCAAAATTAATACTTACTCGTATATTATATTAATGTTATGTAGATAGTGGAATATGATGACGGTACTAGTGATGTGATTGCAATGGAACAGGTTCAAGACAAAAAATGAAGATTTTATAAAATGCAAAGGCGGTTTATCTTTCATAACTTGTGCTGATAAAGTTTTAATGGAATTGCTTCTATATCAAAATATATATTAAAAAGTTGGATCAACGAATATCACAATACCAATACGAAGCCATACATTCCTTCGTCAGCCACGGTGGGTTAGATGTCATACTACGGTCTCTTGGTCACTTCGATGAAGCAAATCCCCAACGAAATTCCTTTTCCTACTACAACAACCTCGATCTCAAAGATCTCCATGGAATAATCCGAATAGTCCACAAGGTTTTTGTTTTTGTTTTTTTGGGGTTGTTCCTCTTTTCAAAGAGAATAAATAATCTATTTAATCATATTAATTACTTCATTTACTTACTCTATTTAGATTGGTCCTTACGTCCCTAACAATGTGGATTTCAGACAGTTTGTATTTAAGATCGCTCAATGTGTTCAAAATCATATTCGTAATATTCCTGAAGAATGGCTAATACGCCAAGATAAAAAATTAATTCCAAATATTGTACATATGGTTACCTCTATGATACTCACTTTACCTTCTTCCATTGCTGGATCTATAAGAGATTATGACAGAAATTATCATCAAATGTTATCATCTGATGAAGATGACGACGAAGTTACTGACATTCGGTATCGTGAGGTATCTGATGAACAACAAATTCTTATAGGTTCTCAACTAAAAATTGATATAGCTGCTCGATTATTGAAAACTTCAAGATTGGATTTACGTTTGACTGGCCTAAATGAAATCAAAGAAGCTCTTTTATTAGGTCTTAAACAAGCCAAATTTTTGAAAAAATATAAAAGAAGAACTAATAATTCACGTAAAAGAAGTTTAAGTATTGATGGTGAAGATGATAATATTCCATTAGAGGAGGATAATCCTTCTGAAAAAATTCATCGGTATTTATTATTTCTTAATATTCTTATTTAAGAAATATATTGATTATATTAAATCAACGTTTACAATAAAATCATCGTCATCGTCATTCTTATTATTATATTTTATAGTTTCCTTAATGAGAAATTACGCGAACATCAAATTCTTGAATATATATTTGGTTCTAATATTCATTTGGAAATAGTTCAACGTTCTACAGATATTTTAACATTCTTGATACACACTAAATCATTAACATCACACGAATTAGATATTATTTGGGCACCTTTTGATGGAAATCAACACCGAAGCATTGTTCATGGTGTTTGTCAAGTACTGATTGATATTTCCGACCATTTAAATCAAGAACAACGAGACTATCTAATTCAGAAATTGATGAAAATGCCTACCAGTTTCATAGAGACTCAAACTTATTTATTAATAAGAACTTTGGTTCAATCCACTATGTCAAGTACTAGAGTAAGCACTGCGGTAATAATTTTACAAAAAAAAAAATCTACTATAAAAATTTTAATATTTACATTTGTTTATTTTCGTTTTCACATGTATATTTAGACTGTTCCTCATGTATCATTTAAAGCTCACCAATTATTATGGCGTTTACTATGTGAATCATCAATCTCAATCCCTGCTTTGATGAACTCGGAAGTTTCATCTCCCACCACTACTGCTTCAGCAAACACTCTTTCTCCTGTATCGTCATCAACAACATCATTATCTTCAACAATAATAGATCAGGACATTGCTCAAAATGCTTGTCAAGTTCTAACTAATTTATTACAGGGCGATACAAGTCAAGAAGATCGTAATACTTTATTGGAAATGTGTATTGAATGTTTAAGAAAACATGATCCTGGAACTATGTGGGCTTTAAGGCTTTTAACAAGAATTATTTGTTAGTATTAAATAGAAATTTATTGATGTGGTTATGTGATCATGACGCTATATATAATAATAATGTTAACTACTTGCTGTTTGTTAATTGCTACGACTACAATGATGATGATGATTATTATTATTTTAGCACCCCCATTTCCCAATCAAGAGTTGACCACAAATGATTACCTTAAACATTTAATATCAAGTATGGGATTACCGCAATTATTTTTGGACGATTTGGAACATTGGTCAAAGACTGTGAGAGCATGTGCAGGAAAACTTAATGATAAACCAAATGTTTTAAATCTAGGTATTTATATCAATGGGGGGGGGGGGGTTTTTTTTTGATTTTTTTGATTAACAAAAAAAAATTTGAATTAGATGAAAGTTCATTTTTTTCTAAAAAACATCATCCTTCTCATCATATAATATGTTATTGATAGATTTACCTTCATCAAAAATGTCCATATTACGTGATCAACTAATTTCGCGTCTACAATTTATTCAATGGATAGCAAATTTTGAGGTTCCCTTTTTTACATCAACAGCTCAAACCGACATAATTTGGAATTGTTTGATAGCTAATGCAATAGGGAAAAAGGAACAAGACGAGGCATTTGCTTCCCTGGACAATATACTAGAATATGATTATTTCACTGAGCATTTTTTTAACAATCGTTTCGCTGAATTGGATGTTCGGTTCATGTCTGATCAAGCATTTAAATATGCTAAAAACTGTTTGTTAAAAGTTAATGCTAAAAACGGAAGGTTACGTTCTGTATGTATCATTTTTATTACTATTAAGATAATTATTATTATAATAATAATAATATTATCATCATCATCAAAACAATAATGATAAAAATAACAATAACAATAGTCTTCACCAAATCCACCATCTCAAGTTCAACTTGGCATTCTAATACAAGGTGATCTTACAGGAATTGATCTTATTTGGGATATTGCACTTCGTGCAGAAGAAGAAGCTGTTGGAAATGAAGCCATAATCTTTTTGGTTTATTTATATCTTAATGTAAGTTTGATTTTTTTAAATTAATAAAATAAATATTATTTTTAATTTTAGGACCGTTTATCATTTTATTCAATATATTATTAAAAAAATTTGCAGACGGATAAAAAACTGGAAAATTATGCTAATTTGGCCAGGCAACATCGTGAAGCATTAGTTGACAAATGCGTTAAACATCTTTTCGCTGCTGCCAATGGCTTATCCAAAGTTACTATTTTCCCCACCACATCGGATGATGATGTTTCAATGACACTAATTGATGAATCTAGCTCTTCTACACCATTATCGCCATCAATGTCTCCACTTCAATCATCAACAAAGAATAATAAATCTACTAATGCCTTAAAATTCAAACGATGTCTAGAAGTACTTAAATCTTTTATGGATATATTTGATACTAAATATTCAAATTATCAATTAGATAAAACTGATGTAAGAAGACATGGAATGTTAAACGATGGAGAGATGATTACAGTAAAAGTTACTATTACAAATCGATGTTTGGAAATTCAAGTCCATCCATCTGAGACAGTTCTTGCTTTACGACAAAAAATTGCCTCTAGAATAGGTGAAGCAAAATCATCACAAATTAGATTAATCACAGCAGGAAAAGAAGTTTGCCCTGAATCGAATGGATTGACTTTGAAAAAATTAAAAATTGTAGATCGTCAATCTTTTATGGCCATGAAGCGCAATAATGAAGGAAAGTTTGGACAAGAGAATGATAGAGTTGAAGAAAATCTTGAAGAAGTAATTCCAAAAATTTTTTTAATTAAACTTATTAAACTTGGTTAAATTTACCTTTGGTAACAAATTTATTAATAAATAAATATTTAATATAGTTGGTTGAATCAGATTTACCGATTAATGTTTTATCAAAATATATTGATCAATTTTTCCAAATGTTAGAATTAGAAGAAACATATTCATCACAAGTAATTAACATTTTCTATTATTAATCAATCCATATTAATTATTTGTTATTTTTGTATTATTAATAATCAAATTAAATACATTATTAATAATAAAGATATGGGATCTACTTATGCGACTTCCGACAAATAATACGTTCTTGAATGCACTAAAAACTCTCGAAACACCAGTGAATTGGGACGATCTCCTTGTTCTACGATCGCCATTTAGATTACTCTATGCGTTACAGATTGTTGATTGGTTGTTAAGAGGAGGCGATGATGAAAGAAGCCAGAGTGGAAGTGATTGGTGTATGCGATTTACTCAAAATCAAGGATTGGACTATTTAATTAAATTGTTCATAACGTTGGATACAACTGAACGTAGTAGTAGCAATACTTCTGTTTCTGACGATGAGGTAGAAATCAAAGATCATCATAAAATTTTAACAAAGAAAGCCTGCCTTGGGCTTTTATTGAAAATAATTAGTTTTTTTGCTATTGGTAATTATTATAATTACTAAAACAATATGATTTGTTGCTCGATGTTTTTATAAATATGGTTAATGGACTTTTTTTTTTTTTTAATTAACAGATAATACGATAGAAAGCGCCGATATTTTTAAAAGTTCTGATTCCAAGAGTTTAATTTCAAAATTGATTGAAATAATTGGTAAATGTGTAGATCCTTCTCAAAATCAGGGTAAAATCCATATTACAATAAATTTTACATTTTTTATGTCTAAATCTTTATTTTTAAAATAAAACTATTTCTTTCTTACCCAAAAAATTTTTTTAGTTGAAGATGATTTAACAATAATACGACATTCAATGAAATTATTATCATGTCTATGTTTACGTGACGAATCTGCAATATCAATCTTTGTTGGCCATCCAAATTTACGTGAATGGTTAATTTCTGCATTAGTTGGTTGTCAATCTGAAGAAGCTAGGAGTCTAATGGCGAATATGATTCTTTGTTTCTGTAAAGATATTAATAATAATATAGTTAACAATAATGGAATGTCAACTGACGAATCAATGAATCAGAATCATCAGGTTTCAATTTCACCTGTTCTTGATCAATTTTCATTGATATTATGGTCGTTCTTGCCCGATGTAGAGAATCATGTTTATACAAGCAAAGAATATTTTGATTTAATGGGTGAACTTATGCCATTCATTACAAAATCTAGTCTGATTTCTTTGTCATCTTTATATAATGGCATCAAAAATCAAATAAAACTGCATCCAATTCAGGAGCAATTTAATTCATCATGTGAAGATACGGTTATCATTGGCTTATTAAAATTGATGACCATCTTGGTGTCTGAGCATAAGGAATTTAAAAATATTCTTGGCGATGGGTATTTTATTTTATTATTGTGATCTTATTTATTATTTCATTCATTCACTTATTTAATTATTCATTTCACCTATTCATATTAATATTTATTTTTTCCTTGTATCATGTTTTACATTTTATGATGGAAACAGCTTGCTTGAGATGATTTTTTATGATTGTCTTTTTGAAGTTCCAAATATTAACCACTCCAATTCACTTCTTCCACCAAAGTGTAAACTTGAAGTTTCAAGAAATGCTGCATTAAAACTATTAAATGTACTAGTTCATGAATGTCCAGAAAATTTTGTTCGTCTTACAGATTTATATTTGAAACAATTGGATCGTGGTGAGCAATTAAATGATAATTGGAACTATTGCCCTAAATCATGTCAGAAATCTGTAGCTGGATATGTTGGATTACAAAATCTTGGTGCAACTTGTTATGTGAACTCTATAGTTCAGCAATTTTTTATGAATTCCGATTTCCGAAAAAGTTTATTAGCTGCTCCTGTTAATGATGAAAACAAAGACGATTCACTTCTTTATCAACTTCAAATTGTTTTTGGATATTTACAAGAAAGTGAAAAAAAAGCATTTGAGGCAACACAATTTTGCCATGCCTACAAAGATTATGATGGCCAGCCTTTGAATGTCGCACTTCAGATGGACGTGGATGAATATTTCAATGGACTTTTTGATCGTTTAGAGAATAGTGTTTCTGGAACACCTTATTCGATGCTTCTTAAAGAACATTTTGGTGGTACGATTGTTCAACAAATAAAATCAAAAAGTTGTGGTCATATTTCCGAGAAAGAAGAATCATTTTTCGCGATACAATGTGAAGTTAAAAATAAAAAAAATGTAGAGGAAAGTTTAGAACATGATGTTGAGGGAGAATTGTTGGATGGTGATAATCAATATTTTTGTGCTAAATGCGGGAAATCTGTAGATGCAATTAAAAGATCATGTATTAAGAAATTACCAAAAAATTTGATAATGCATTTGAAAAGATTTGATTTTGATATGGAACTGTTGAAACGTGTCAAGATCAATGAATACTTTGAGTTCCCGAATCGAATAAACATGGAACCATATACTTTGGATTACCTGATTAGAAAAGAATTAGGAGGGGGAGCGGGGGTGGGAGTACAAGAGGATATCAAATCAGATAAACAGAACAAATCACAATTTGAATATGAGTTAGTTGGTGTTTTGGTTCATACAGGAACTGCTGATTCTGGTCATTATTACTCTTTCATTAAAGAACGCAAATCTGCACCATCATCATCATTGTCACACGAAAGTGATGAAGAGAGACGCTGGTACCAGTTCAATGACTCGACAGTTGAAATTTTTGATCCAAAAGACATCCCTAAACAATGTTTTGGTGGACCTGAATATGTTTCACAATGGGATCCAGCGCAACAGAAAAATGTTACACGTGTGTTTGCTAAACAATATAATGCATACATGCTATTTTACGAAAGGTGTGAAGATGTTCAGAATATTACTAGTTATAATGAGATAAATAAACAAGAAAATCAAATTGTTAAAGTTCCTGACGACATATATGGTGCAATATGGGATGAAAATATCGGTTTTCTTCAAGATAAAAATATTTTTGATCCGGGCTACTTTAATCTTATGTGGACTGTTCTTCACTCGGTAGATTTTGATAATGAGCAAAAGATTTTAGTTGATGGTAAAGAGATTGATTTGACGATGCGTACAATCCAGTTGGCTTCTGAATTTGTTTTGGGGACATTATCACGTGCGAAAGATAATATGGAACTTAAAGATTGGACAGATTTTCTTAAAACATTATTTCAAACTCATTTGCCAGGATGTCAATGGTTTATCAATAGACTTATTGATCCCAGTCCAAATTACTTACAACAGATATTGATGTCATGTTATGTTCAAGAGGTTAAAGAGCAAATTGTTGATTTGATAGTTTTTGTCTTGAGAACTCTTAGACAAGGTGATCCAATCGTATATGGACTGGAAAGCGAAGGAGGGGTTATTGATATGACAGCAACAACAAATTTGGCTGATGAAATTTCCATGAATATCGATCCATCATCGTCAACTTCAATACAAATGTGCCATAATAATGGATTAATAGTAAAATTATGTGAAGCGATGTTTAATCTAATTCCCACTGCACATTTATGGTGGAGGAATTTTGAACAATATTTCTCTTTGATGTATCTCATATCATATTTTGGAGTACCTGAGTGTAATTATATGATAAAACGCGGATTCATAGGAGAATTGGTTAAATTGTTCCTTATGGACGAGATTGCACCATTGAAATCTCGTAAAAGAAAAATGGGCGATAAATTTTCTTTGCCACCTTTCCGTTATCTATTAATGACATTGCGTACACTAATATCAGGATGTGATGTTTCTGATATTGGAAAAAGTGGACGTTCGTTACTAGTTGAGACGCAGAGCACCGCCATGAAGTTGACAGAACAAGAAATTTCAATGATATTTGAACGTAATGAATCGGATGATCAATTCATATTTTTTATGAAACAAATAAGAGATTGTATTGATCCTCCGTCTACTGGAGAATTGTTCGCACATTTTGCTACTAACAATGAACACTTATCGGAAGAATTTTTAAGTCAATTGATTCGCGCTGCTGATATTTATACAGTTGATCACGTTAGACCACACCTGGAAATTATTTATTCACTAACGCAAATCCAGGATAATTTGTTAAAATCGAGGATTGATTACACAATCCCTGAAATCTTGAAACTTGCAAAGGCTAATCAAAGTGCACCGCAAATTAGTTCAGAATGTCTTGGATTAATTGAAGCTTTGTGCACATCTAGTGTTGGAGCATATGTTCAAACTTTTCTTGTTACATATCTTTCAGATTGGTTGCCTGAGTACTTTTTGTATAGTCCGTATGAATTAGTCCGTCAAAGAGCCGAAGAATTATTTAATCTTTTAATATTTCGTAATATAGATGAAGCACAAGGGAGTCAAGCACAATTAGAAGCAATTGAAACAATGCATAAACAATATCTTATGTTGTTGAAACATATGGAGCATTTAGAGACTTGTTGGAAAACTACTAGCAGTAGAAGAGGAGGTACCTATTATTATTTATATGTAAATAATATGTAAATTTATTGATTACTAAGTTTTGATAATAAACGTGCTTTTAGTGGCAGATCCATTTGGTTGGAGATTGAGTAATTATTTCAGAATATTGACAAAATGTGTTCGATCGAACAAAGAAAAACAAATGGTAAATTTATGAAAAAATCATTTTCTTTTGTGACTTTATTTACTATTAAAATAATTTATTCTTTAAACCTTTTTTTTTTTAAAAAAAAAATATAGTTCCATCCATATTATGATAAATTTAGTTCCATTTTTATAGCCGTGGATAATTTAAGAGCTGATTGCGATATCGACAAAAGAGTATATATTATAAACTATAATATATATACATACTTGATTTCTTAAATGATTATAATATTAATTAATTCCTGTAAAATTTTATAGGAAATAATTAACTTTTGGTATACTGTATGTGAAGATTATCCACCAAATATAGAGGCAATTGTTAAAAACCAAGAGTTATTGTCTCACCTTTTCATGTATTATGTTAGGTATTAAAAAAAATTTTTTTTTTTGAGTTGATGATAATGTGTTAATAAAACATTATAATAACAATAATTAATTCTATAATTATAAGTATAAATCATTCAAATGAGAACATAATTTATAATCAAGCATCTCTTCCTAAATATTATGGATTGATATTATTATGTTGTCGCCATTCACCAGAATGTCATCAAGCGTGGATGGAAGCGACCAATTTCTTTTGGGCTCTTAATAGCATGATATTTGGAGATTTTTACGATGATCATGTTGGTTTCAATTGACTATTATAATAATAAATTTAAATTTAACAATATAATGTTTTTCTATTTATTGTTAAAATCTAACATTTGTTTATATTATATAGAAAACTGACGAGTTGTTGGAACTTTTGAAAATGAGTGCTGATGAATCGGCACTTTTCAGATCTCGAAATTGGGACCAAAATGCATCTTCTTTAGCTAATATGCCCATAATACGCATACAAAGGTATTTTCACTAATAAAAGTTATTTTATTTTTATCCAATTAATTTTAATTAAATTTAATAAATAATAATAGGCTTCATCAGTTAATTAATCGAAATACTGTTGATGATTTACATGCATTTTGTAAATACCATGGATTTGAAACATTATCACAGTTTATTATAAAAGACAGATATCTAAATGAAGAGAATGTTCTTAAATGTATGGAGATGCTACATGCTTATTTGCATCTTGCATGTTCATTGGAAGAGGGTAAAGAATATGTGAAAGCATGGAAAACACGCTTAGAATTTGCAGCTTCACTTTTAACATCTTTGCATCCAAATATGGACAATAAAATTTACCTTAAAACATTAGGTTATTTTATAAAAAATATTTTTTTAAAAATATTTTTTGTTTCTTTATTATAATGCTTACTTGATTTCAAAAAAAAAAAATTCTTTTAGACATTCTATGCCTATTCTTAAAAATGAAATGTAATTCTGAACTTGTTAGAGATTGCTTAAAATTATTGATCGAAGAACATTCCAAATGGCAAAATAGATTATCTAGTCTTACGAAAGAAGGTAATGATGATTTTTTAGAATAATTTATTTAACGATAACAAGAACAGTATTTATTAATAATAGCAATAATATATTATCTATTATATAGATTTACTTTTAAATTTTGGTGGTAATCAATCAATTTTTCAACGTCTAAAATTATTTGAAGAAGAAACTGAAAGTTTAGGCATTAACAGTAGCAATATAGAAACACCTTCAATACACTTTTTCAGACCTTTCCTTCTCAGATTGCAACAAAAAAATGACATAATCCATTTACAAAATGAATTGTATAAACCTTATTTTAAATTGATAGAACAATTAGCCTTTTCAGGGATAGAAATAGAAGAATTTGATAAAGTCGTTCGATTATGTAAGTCTATTAATTAATATTCATATGTTTATGATGTCGACTGAGAAAATATAACAATACTATTTTCTATCTTTTACCTATAATACATATATAGGTTCATTGATAGTGCTTGAAATGTTGGAGATGGATGTATCAAATATTTTTAACATACTTTTAGATTTATTTGAAAAGCTTTCGGAGAATAAAAATGTTGTCAGCGCTTATAATCAGTTGGCGTTCTCTATGCTCCTGGAACACTTATTAAACTCAAATCCACGGTCATTACTTACCATGCTACCAGCTGAACGATTTAATACATTCAAGTCACTAATAAATATTGTAAGAAATTGGCTTGATTTTTATATTGCTAGAATAAATTTATATATAAACACATTTCTTGTTTAATTAATTGGTTATTATTGTAATGGGTTATGCTAGGTAAAAATCAATAAGTCGGACGTAATTCAACCGATTATGTTAAAATATATTCAACAGTTTGTTGCTAACGTTAAGGTATTGAAAGAAAAATTGGAAGTTAAAGATTTGGTTTTGGTGCATGCAACTATTGAAGAACTTTTAATGGTAAGAATTTATTAATTGATTGATTAAATATATATATATATATATATTAAAATTAACAAATTAAATTGAATGAAATGAATGAATGAATGAATTGAATGAATAGCAGAATAGTTAATTACTAACCAATAGGTTTTTTCTTACATATACAAAGATATTACGGATTTTAATAATTATTTTATCAGATAATGACTTGTCAGCAGATGATCCACTTGCAAAAATTTATTTAGAAAGTCTAAAAGATATCCTCAATTTGGAACAAGCCAAAACAATAATTGGTGAACATATCGAGAATATTGACGAGTATTTCAACAAGATAAACCAACTTTCTACTCAATTAATGTCATTACAAGTATTAGTAGTACAACCTAGTGATAAGGATGGGAATATTGTTGCTGTCGTTGGCGGTGATATTGAAAATACTGGGGATGATCAACAACAAGAACAAATACATGTGTATGAGCAAATACAAGAACATGAACAGCAAGTACAAGTAATACAAGAACAAACAAAAGATGATGTTGAAATTAACGATAGTATCGAAGCTATCAATGAAAACGAAAACAACAAAAACAATGGTGACAATGAAGAAATTATAGGTGAAAATATTATTGTCGAAGAAAATCTTGGTATTAAAGAAAATTTTGTTGGTGAAAATAATAATAATATCAGTAGTGGTGAAGATAACAATGTTGAAATGGTTATTAGTGGTGAAGATGATGTTAATATTAATGGAAATAATATTGTCGCTGTTACTAATACTATTACTAATGAAAATGAAGATGAAAATGTTATTATTAATAGTAATATTAGTAATAATGATAATAATAATAATGCTATTAGCATTGATGAGGATAATAATGATAGTGCTGCCATAATTAAAGATATGGAGGAGGACGCTGGAGATCAAAAGGTATTATAATAATATGAAGAAAAAGGTATATTGTGGTTTATTTATATATATCAATTCTTTTTATATTGTGTATATGACCAAACAACTTTATAAAAAAAATTTGTAGTATATTCAAAAAAGATATAAATTTTTTTTGCTTATTTTAATTAATCAAATATTTATTAGTGTTTTTTTATTATATTATATTAGTATATATATTATATTAGCATTTAAAATAATAAATTTTACTCATTCAATCCATTCAAACTAATCAAATAAATGGGCTCTTAGTTCCTAGATTGAACCATACATTTAATTGGTAATCGACAGATATATTGTAGGCTTTTTTTATAGACGGGATTTTTAAACCAAAACCGCAGTCTAATCAATCGAATTGATGGAATTGGTATATTGGAAGGACAAACCCGTAATATTTGATCCTTAAAGTCATGCACTGAAACAGTATGAGCTAGATGTTGAAAGTTATCACACCCTTTGTTCATTTACAGCAAGAATGTTTTGTTCAGCTTTATTTTTCAAGAATTTCTTTGCATAATCCCAAAATTCAGGTCTGCCCTTCATTAATTCTTCGTAAATCAGTTATAATAACTAGGGTCTCTCAATTCTATCATTAATTATACTCTCTGCTCTACATTTTTGCCAGTCATATTTTCTGAGGAGCTACTATCATCAACATTTCTTTTAAAAGAACTCTTGCATTTGCTTTCCTCACATTACCCAAATAAAGCTCCATTGTTTTAATAAAGAACTTTTCATTGCTCTTGTAAACTTTGAAGTTTTGATTTAAATTAATTCTTACAAGATTAGAAATTTCTGTTAAGTATCAGAATTGTTAAGATCGTGACATTTTGTCATAGTTTTTGCATCACATAATGATAAGGATGTTATTGTTTTTTCAGATCCCGTTGAAGCATCCTGATTAATTAAAGATAGGTCTTGATCCTGAGAAGCAGAAGCTTCATTACTATGTAATAGCTTTTTCTCCATATTCCTCTGCCTTATCTCATTACTAACCCTTTTCTTATTTTCCGAATCTAAAAAGACATCAATTTCTTTATCTTCTAATGATTTAGATTTTCCGGAGCATGTTTCATTAAGGTTAGATGTATTGGAAATTGTGTTAACTACCTGTTCTGAAGTTACTAAGTCAGTGCTAGTCATGGATTGATCCGCTTCGTGGTGAGTTGAAGAATCTTTAATCTGCGCATTTTCACCATTTGAGCAACTCTTGTTAGGTAGTGAAGTGGAATATTCCGAAGATTTTAAATCATTAGTAACTGGACGATTTTGCTTTTCAATATTCTTAACAGCTCGTTTTAATTTTGCAATTTCATTCTTGAGCTCTGCGTTTTCTGTTTGACTTAACTTTGTAGTCCGTTCTAATTCCACAATTCTAACCTCAAGCTCATCTTTTTCTTTCGCGATCTGTTCCAATTCATTGATTCTAGCCATAAGTCTGGCGTTCTCCTGTTTCAATAAATCAATTTCGGATTGCATGTTTAATGATAACTTTTATACAAATGTGAATTATTCAAATATTATTTATCGTCATAGATAAAACCATGACATTTTGTCATCGGAATTATACTTCTTATTGTCTTATTGTGAATCACTTATCTAGAATACGCGAAATGCAGTAATACTTAGCAAAAATTGTATTGTGATTGTGGATTATAACAAATTTCTTGATGTCTCAATTAATATTCCGAAAATGAAATTAAAACTTTAAGCAATTACATTACTTGCATTTTTATTACAATAATTGCATGACGTTTTACTAAACAGTGCGTAGTTTGCATTGCCCCAATTATCTATTTTAACTTCAATAATTTTCACATTTACCTCTCTTTATTGGACTTGATGAAGGTGTACCGAACAATCCGGATTGCTCGCTGTAAACTGGAATTTTTCTTTTGCGTTCTCTATGTAAACGTGAGTCAGAAAGTGAGACACCATTTGTGTGATCACAAATTATTTTCAACGTAGACTGAAATAATATGAATATAATAGTGAGATCTTGTATGTACCAACTGCAACGATAGTAAGCATATATTACCTTGATGTCCGACATAGTAGCATAAAAGCCTTCAAGAATTGCAAGCGTTTTTAAAGTATTGGGCATCTTTTTCTGAGAAAGCCTTCCTAAGCGCAATACATTTGTAGCCTTACAGTCCATGCCATAAGTTTCGTGGATCCACCCTTAACATGAGAATAAAAGTGAGTTGGTCACAAAATTCGAAATTTAATTATTATATATTTTTACCTACCCCACGATTGAATTCCAAGAACATATGTACTATGAAGCTCATTTCCAGATGCATTGGGATTTGTTTTAAAAAAATTATACAGAACATCGCGCATTGCTACGGAAAGATCCACTCTATCCTCGTGGATTTTTTTGCGATGTGCAACAGGGAGACCACCACTTCTAAGGCCAATAATGGCTTCAAGGTTATTAATGCTGTTTTTCAAAGTACCCCGAAAATCGCACTTTTGGCCTATGCGTGCTCGGAGGACTATTGAGCGTCCCTCGTTTCTTCGACGGGAAGAAGCCCAACAAGCAATTTCCCCGCTATAGAATTGTAAAAAAATTAATTACTACTTAAAGATTTACTCATTGTATTCTTGTTTGTACTTACACATCCATTTTGAGATCACGTTTGTTTAAAAATCTTTTTGTTAACATATTTGGAAATGAATTGTCAAAGTCGGCTTCTGATATGGGAACTTCAAGATCCTTCAAATTTTCGGCACTGTGATAAAAGATTGGAAAATTTAGATAAAAATTATGTGATGTGCTGTAATCTATCAAATGCTAATAAAAGAAAATAATTATTTTATTTAACTCACTAGGTAATAACGGCACGTCTTAATACATTAAAGATCTCCTTATCCTCATCACTGAATTTGACTTTTCTATTTTTTTCTATCATCTCCGGAGTCAAATCATCAATCGCATTGATAATATATTCATCATTTTTTTTGGATACCTAAAAATATAGTGTTAGTGCCATTTTAAAAAAATGCTATATATAACAAGATAGATCTTTCATCAACCTTTTCCACTTCATCGAAAAAATATTCAACAACATCTGGTATGTCCGATTCAACTAATTTTACTTCTTTTTTAAAGCTTTCATTTATTTCTTCCCAGTCATCCGTTGAAAAAAAAGGTTTTATTTTGGTGTCTTCTGTTAAATCGAGAATGTTCCAGTACGCGAGGCTATAAAGAAATTCTAAGATTAAATATAATCATCACTAACTTTTATGACCTTCGCCAATTCAAAAAACTTACTTCAAACATTTATGAGCCTCAGGAATTGTCTTAACATATTTTGCTAACTCGTCTCCAACGTTGGTACCACTTTTGAGAACCCACGATCGATGAGTAGTTAGTTGATTTTCTTCTCCACGTTCTATGAAGTTATTATAACTCTCGCCATCGTCGATACCATCTTTATAAACCTTGTCGTCATTACCCTTGCTTATAAAAAATTCTTCGATTTCGTTTATATCTTCCTCTTCCTGATCTTCCTGATCTTCTTGATCTTCTTCACTTATACCTAAGTTGGTATTTTTTGCCAATGATTCGTCCTGTAATAAAAATTTTCATAATCGTTTAATATTTATGGCAAGTCCTTTAGTTATTTCTGAATAGTAATAACCTTACCTTGTTTAATGACAACGTGTTTATCTCTTTGTGAAGATTAAGATTGGTACTACGTACATTACGACGAATAAGAATCTATGTAATGCAGAATTTTATCAATATTAAGTTAAACTATCTAAAGAGTCAGCAAACGGACATACCGCTGTTTTTTCTTGCATCCATGATTCCCAATCACGCAGAATCTTTTCATCCTATCAAAACAAGAAATCAGATTTAGAAGTATTTTATAATATGGCAAAACTTTTAATTACATACATCCGCCATTTCTTTCATTATTTTGAGCTTGTCTTTTATTTCCTGATTGTTAGCCATATTCAAAGCCAGATCAAGTGTTTTCCGATAATTATCAGACGCTTTAGTTTTATGTGCTGGAAATGTATATCGAAAAAATGCGATTGGGGTTGGATCAGGACAAGCTAGCATCCAATCAATATTGCATTCTCTCCGAGTTAACTTGCACAATGATGATTTCATTCTTGAGTACAAAAAAATAGCAAGTTGAGTATCTTATCAAACAAAATACATGAAAATTCAATAAATTGGGCCGTTCTTCACATAGGGCCGGCCATCGCTGGATGATGACTCGCAATTGCTTGCTTCCGACAGTTTCTCTCTGTCGCAGGCGCCCTTTTGTGTCAAACAAGCCCTCATAAAATCTGCGCAATGAAGTCAGCCGGCCATCGCTGGATGATGACTTGCCATTGCTGGCTTCCGACAGTTTCTCTCTGTCGCAGGCGCTTCCTTCTTGCTTAACAGAAGCTATGCTCTCTATCACAGGCACTAAATAAGAGAAAACCGAGCCCACCTGATTGATACGTTGTTCGAAAGGCGGTGGTAAAAATTTTTTTACAGAGACAAGAGTAAATATTTACATGACACATGATATAATCCGTGACAAAATGACACGAAAAAACTTTTCACAAAGAAAATGCATGTGGCACGAGTTGGTTAATCAGAATCAGAATTTATAGTAACAGTCAGATTGCATCATGCATGCAGAAGTTCTATGACCTTCGATTTTATTCTGTGATATGTGATATGTATTACACAATTGATTTTAGGTATAACGTCATTTTTCAGTAATTCGAATGATTCAAATAATTTTCGTTGCACAGCCACATTGATGATTATCTGATCGATTATGCAGAGGGATTATCAAAATTTAATTCCTTCTTTAAATCAATTCACGCTGAAATATATATACGACATAAATAATAGTGATTCTTCTTTTATGGTGATGCGAATACAATCAAAAGGGTGGACATATATACTAGCAATTACGTTTAATCAAGAAGGAATATAATATTTTTTTTTATTATTTTTCTAAATCGTCGCTAACTATTTCTTGGAGGATTATTTTCAGTGGAAGTTGGTGCATTATCTTCGTTGTCCTCATTTACCTGCTGAGTATTTGTAGCATCTGCATAAGATGGAGGCTGGAGATCGGGTATATTAGTATTAGATGTATTGTTATCCACTGGCGGTGTAGGTGAATTATGATGTGGTGATAATGATCGTCTTCGGCTTCTATCATTGGTAGATGTTCTTCGGTTTCTATTATTAGGAGATGTTTGATTCGAAATATTTCTGCTACCTTTTTCCCAGAAACGTGTTTGAAATTCATTATAATATAGTGTACCATTCCGGGTTCTTCGTCCTTTTTCAGCACCATCCAGAAAATCACACATTAGCTGATCACATAGAGGTATATTATATGACAGGTAAGTGACATTGCAATAAATTCCATGATCAGAAAATTTTAGCCGGGTTCTCTTAATTAGGAAATTTCAATAAATTACATATTATATATATAGAAATAACAAACTTATATCTACTTTACATATATAAATACCAATACTCGAGATAATTTACTTTTCCACATTTCATTATATTACGAAATAATATAAATTTTATCGCAACAAATATGTATCTTATTTATAAGTCAAATACTTTATATTCACCTTACTCTTATTACAATATATGCAAAATTTATATGTCAAAGACATTAGCTCTGCTATTAATTAGTTATAAGTCGGTATTAGAACTCAAGGTTCTCCAGTCTGGATTGATAGTCTAGAAAATCCCATTGGTAATATAACCGCGGAAACTTTTCATACTTCTAAAGACATATACCCTATATTTTTCGGTATGGAATCAAATCCAACGAAATCCATACTATGTATAGCTACATCTAGTTTGATAATATTCATAATATTCTGCGATTTTATTAAATATTTCGTAAAAAATGCACCAAGAACCCGATTGCACTAAAATTGAATCGCATTATTCTAGAATATAAAGTTATTAAATCTAATAGGTCCAAATCCTTAAATTCGATACAAACCACCAAATATGTCAGGTCTTAATATTCCTATTATTATTGATAAAAAAACTAAATCACAGAAACTCATTAATAATAGACCGGGGCATGATATGAAATATATAGAGTCATATATCAACAAATATTTTGGCATTAATGATTATGAACAATTCTTCGATAAACTCTTTGAGATTGAAAGACAATATGATACTTTATCCGTTATTCGACCCAATGAAACTCCACAACAATAGGCTATTCGGGTCAGAGTTCCTTTACAAGAGCTAGTCTCTGAAAAGAAAAGAAGCGTATATCACGCACACTGTTTATATGGTGGATTTGGAAATTCTAAACTAGTCAATCACAACTACTACAGACCTAGGATTCACAAAACTCATATGGCAATTTGTCTTGATTGTTGGAAGTTAATGATGTGAAACCAAAGACAGTATATACTTCCGCTCTTTACAGATATATCGAAAAGATTGAACCTGCGGATTTGATGAAGTATCATTGGGATCATGAATGTAATAATCCAAAATCTCAAGATGGATATGCTCGAATCATACAAACTGCTTATCGCCGATTCAAAGAAAGAATACCATCAAATGCGCGTCTTGCTTGGTTAAGTTTACCAAATGATAATATTCCAGATGATAAGAAATTTCTAGGATTAACAAGTCGTAAAGTGAAAAATTCTCAAACTCGAGATCAATTCAATCAGTGGAAAGCTGAGAAAATTACTATGTATAAAAAATGTAATGACCCACAAATGGTTAGTTACTTTCATAATAGAAAATATGAAGAATATTATATCCCATACGATTGGATAGGTAGAAAGAAAAACCAATTACAAGATAGATTTAGTAAGCGTCTCCAACAATTAGGGGTCTGATTCATTTCGTCGACAATCATTTCGTCGACAATCACTTCGTCGACAATCATTTCATCGACAATCATTTCATCGACAATCATTTTGTCGAAAGTTCATTTCGTCGAAAAGTTCATTTCGTCGACAATCATTTCGTCGACAGTTCATTTCTACAACAATTCATGTTAATTTGCATGTATTACCAATTATGTTTGGGAGAGCGTGAATTAATTCATGATAACAATTGTTTATTATGTTTATGTGGAATAGGTTTACTAACATATTAGTTTAATTAGTGGATAA